AAAGAAAAAAAGCTTCAAGAAATAAGAGGAAAAAGAGTAAACAAAAAGGTGATAAAATAATAATGATAATAAACAGCATCGGATGACACAATGATTGAGATTTGACTGTCAAATTATAAGAAAGAATGATTTTTTAAAATTTATTTTGTATTTAACATCACTTTAATTTCTAGTTCATGATTACAGAATAAAGTTAGCATTTTACAAGTACTTGTATGTTATAATTTCATAAATAGTCTTGATTTTATATATTTGTATGGCTAATGAATTCATAAAGAGCATTAAAATATAAACAAAATTAAGTGTTCCTTTACTGGGCAATTTTGTGTTCCTTCACTGGTTAGAGCTGTTCCTTCACTGGGCCTTCTTACTACTTGTTATTTGAACCTCTAAAACTTTAAAACAATATTACAGGGTTCCCACTCTTCCCACAAAGCAAAAATTAAGCACTTTTAAGGACTTTTTTTTTGAAAAAATTAAGGACTTTTTCGAAAAGTTAAGGACTTTTTGGTTATTATCGAATATGCATATGCCACCAGTGACAGCGCAAATTATTTACTATCCTATCAAAATCAATCAATAAAAAAAAATACTAAAAAACAATTTTATTATAATGTAAGTACTGATATAATTGTATTAACAGGGCTCGCCAAAGAACTACCAGGCAATTTTTGCAAACCCGGGTCGGAGTTTTCTAAAAAACATTTTCAGATTGATAAAATTTAACAAAATTCAAATTTTAAACGCTGACATATGAAACTAATCTATATTTCATTTTTAATGATTTCATTGAAATTTAATTGCAAAATTAAGTGAAGAAATTAAGATTTGCAATTTTTTTCATGTATATTAAAAAAAAAAAGAGTAAATAAAGAAATTTGTCTAAAACATTTAAAAAATTATTTCAACAAGTTTTTATATTTCACTACTAGACCAGCAAATGCGTTAGATTTACTTTTATGATGAACTTAAACAAAATCATTTCCAGCCAAACCTATTATTAAGAATCAACTTTATATAATGTAACTAGACAATTTTGCGAAAAACATGAACTAATTTTCAAGCAACTAAAAATTGAACAAATATTAAAAGCAGTATATTAAGTTACAATGTTAACTGAATAAAATGATTATTAAAAATCTAAGGATTTTTTTAGTTAAGTAGATTTAAATTTTTACGTAGCAATCTGTTTATCCTTAAGAAATAAAAATAGTCTAACAATCTAAAGCATAAAAAAAAATTTCACATTGCAAAACAAATTATAAATAGTAACCAAATATTTAACTTTCTTGTTAGAAGCAAATCATGCTTTCATATTTAGTGCTCAGGAAAATTTTTTAAAGTATTTTTGAAAAAAAACTTGAGGTTTTCATCAAAAACCCAATAAACCCCAAGTATTTGATGAAAAACACCTAGGTGGGCAAGGATTTTTCAAACCCTGTTTTTGACAAATTTGTTTAATTTTTAGTACAATCATGAATTTTAAATAATGTTATACTTTCTATAAATTTACAGATACTTATTACACATTGAAATATACAAATTGTTTTAATTCGTCACGATTTTAGGAAATAGTTCTAAAGTTCAAAATTTTTTCTGATACTTCTTTTCTTAGCGTTTTACTTAATTCCTATAAGCAGATTTGTTACCAGTAGAACCGAATTTCTTGAATTCTGTCAGTTTTGAAGGTTAGTGGGGGTCTTCCACTTAGGTACAGTGGAGCATCGTTTATACGACGATCACTTATACGACGTTTACATTTATACGACGTTTTAGTGTGGTCCCAAATCATTCCTATTCATTTTAATGTTAAAATATATTGTTTATACAACGCACAGAATCGGTTATACGTCGGATTTTAGATTTTGTTCACGTTTATTTAATTTTTAATTTTTTCTTGTGTATTTTAAAAAAGGGCGCAATTTGCCAACATGAATGATACAGAAAAGGGCGCCAACAAGAATGCTTGGATAACGACCGTAATTTTTACTAGATGACTGAAAAAACTGGACAATGTTATGAAGAGGCAAAAACGAAAAATTTTGCTATTCTTCGACCATGTCCAGCGCACCCATCGATACTAATTATTTTGGAAAATGTAAAAGCTCTCTTTTTTCCTGCAAATTGTACAAGTGCGCTTCAGCCAATAGATTTGGCCGTGATTAGAAATCTAAAATTGCATCATAGAAAGCAGTAAGTTCAACTCGCTATTCAAAGCATTGTAGAGACTAATAGCAAGAAAATATAATTCGAGGTAACATACATTCAAATTGCTCACTACAATCTTTCTTCTTTGGTTATTTGTTTGTTTTGCTTTGTCTAATTTAGAAATTTATGTAAATCAACACGTTAAACATTAAAATTAACTGAAAACAGAGTCAGTTTCTGTTTTAGAAGTAAAAATCGATTATACGACGTTTTTCGGTGGTCCCTTCGGCGTCGTATAAACGATGCTCCACTACCTTAAAAGTGCCCCCCCCCTCAACAAAAAAAAATATCTCTTCCATGTGCAGTATCCCCCTCGTCCACACTATTCTTTTCTTTTAGAATGCTTCATTACCGTCATATAGTATCATTCTAGGCAAAGAGCAGTATATATTAATTGAAGAAGCATCATATTGATGAAAGGACATGCTTTCTTCCTCCTGCCTGTAGCCCTCACATTAATTTGTCTCTCTAAAATGCTTTACCCTCGATGCATGGTCTAATTCTAAGTGATAAAAGAATGACAGTTTGCCTTAAAAAATTGTTCCTATCAAACATAGTGATGCTAAAAAATTAAGAACTTTTACAAACCTTGAACCAAAATTAAGTACTTTTAAGGGCCCTTATTTTTCAAAATAAAAATTAAGCAGTTTTTAAGGACTTTTAAGGACCGTGGGAACCCTGTATTATGTAAGTTCTCTATAATTTTTTTACATAATTTGCAATTAGTAACAAATATGTTGACACTGTCATTTAACTAAAATTACGAATTTTGAAATTAATATGATTTTTTAAGAGACAAGTGAACCTTAAGTGTTCCTTCACTGGTTAGTTTACCCTATACACACACACAAACATAAAATATTCCTATTTACAATAAACTAAAGATAAACATTCCATTGACAAGCGAAAAGCATTGAAATATTGAAATTACTAAGCAATTTATATGTGAATTAACTAACCTGCGGTTTTATCAATACTAGCAGATTTACCATCTCTAGTTTTCTTTTCAGCCAGAAAAATTTCTTTCCTTTCCAAATATTGCACATGAAGATTCTTATAGTTTTCAGCAACATCTTTTAGTTTTTCTTTCAGTTCCTAGAACAAAAATTATGAGATAAAGTTCATTAAAAAAAAAAGAAGAAGAATGTTAATCAAACATAAATAAATAAAAAATTACCTCAATTTGTTTATTGTTGTTTTCAATATCACTTTGCTTTTGAATTATGTCACTTTCAATGTTGGTCAAAGTGCCTTTCAGCTGATTTAAAGCAATTTGTTTATTGCTAAAACTGTGCATAACAGAATTATAGGAATCACCTGAAAAAAAAATAATAAAACAGTAAAATCTATTAAATATGATAAATAAAATTTACTTTTTTTTTTGAAATTTGAACTAGGATTAAGTATGAAATGTTTCCAGCTAGTTACATGAAAATTTACTGTATTCATAAAAACAAATTATTAAAAAAATAAAGATTATTTATACATTTTACGAATAAAAGGTAAATAATTGAAGAACAATTATCAAATAATTTTGAACCAGGCCAAAATAATAATAATAAAAACCATCTGTTACCAGCAGGAAATTAATTAACTACATATATATTTAATAGGCTGATACATGATCTTTTTAATAAGATTACCAATTTCCAATCATTAATCAAACATTTTTAAACCAAGGTGGAATAAAAAATACAAAACCCTTTGATTTATTCCTATTCGAAAATTAAAAAAGAATAATAATTAACAAGACATTCGGGTGCATAAAGAATAATTTCTCTAAAAATCAGGGATGAGAGATAGAGATTTATCTTTTTATCAATATGTTAAGTTTCTAATTACAAGAAATTTTAAGCATTGGGATATTTTTTGCATGATCAATAAGTGATGCAAATTGAAGTTAAAGATTTTTTTTAAAGAAAAGAAGGAAACTGGCAGAGAGGGAGAATCACGTTGAATATTTTAAAATTAAGAATTCGGAATAAAAATTAAGATAAATTTGAAAAGGCAACATTTAGAAGCCAAGATATGCTAATCCAGATTTTACAAGTATTTAAATTGTCTTTTTGAATTTATTATAAAAAAGTAAAAAGTTAAACTTACTGGTTGGATTTGATTTAGAAAACGATGATAGCTGTGCATCCATACTGATTTTTTCTTGAGACAAAATCAATAGCCGGTCATTCATTTCCTTATGAAACACACATAAATAATCTTAATACATGATAGAATTTTTTATTTCTTATAAGTTTATAAAAAATTAGAATAATATCTGTAGCAAATACAGTTATAATCTACACCAAAATAATTAAAAATAACTTTTCTATAATCTCAAATCAGCATTAGATTTTTAACTGCATACTTGATTAATTTAAACTAAAAATTTTAAATAATAACTAGTTACGGAGTAACAGTTATTTCATACCAATTTCTACAAAAGTACATTCTGATTAAAATAAACATTTGGAGAAAAAAATGTGATAAAATGATTACAGCTTAACAAAATGATTAAATGAAAGATAAAACTTTTGGTCAGAAACTAACATGTAACTACAATTTGACTTTACTTTTTCTTTCTGAGATTAAATTTTTTAATGAAATACTATATAAAAAGTTGTTAGTAGCAGCAATAATGAAAAAAACAAACAACTCAAGAATTTTTAAAGCAGTCTGATATTAAACACACGTCACATAATTTAAAATAAATAAAAAAATTTTGTAAGAGGCAAAGCAAATAAAGGTGAAAAAAGAAAATTAAAAATGTACTTGGAAAAAAAGGACAGCAAAAATACTTCTATTTTTTAGGTGCTTATTAATATAAAATCTGAGATTACTAGTTTACAGCTAATGTTTCAAACTGTATCACAAACTATTATCTAAAAGAGAGACTTTTCTTTAAGTACGTATGACAATAATTTCGAATTAAGAATAAAAATTCAATGAAAATTTGAAATATTTTATGGAAAAACTTACTTTTATTTTTGCTTTAACATTGTTCATTTCAGCTAATTTAGTGTCTCTTTCAATACGCATGTTATCAATGGACGATTTTACTTCTGTAACATTTTTCCGAGTATCACCAATAGTTTCATTGAGATCACTTATTTTTGTTGACTGAAAAGTAAAAGAAATATTTCATTCTTACAGGCTTTTATATAAAAAGACATTAATAATCAAACATAGCATGATTGAAAGAACTTACTAATTGTTCTAGTTCATAAGTTAGGTTTTTGTTCAAATTTTTTAGATGGCACACTGCTTCTTGCTCTTTTTGGCGTTGAGAAATTAGTTCTTGGCGTCTTTGTTTTTCCCACTCTAACTGTCGCTGTCTTTCCATTTCTCTACGAGCTGCCTATCAAAAGTATATTTTATATTTATTCGATCAAGTTATTGCTTTCAATATTTAATAGCTATTTTTTTCAATTACAAATTTAGAATAAAAACTTTTATTACTTCTCTTTGCTCAAGAGCTTTCCTCCGTTGTTCTTCTTTCTCTTGTTCTAATTCTCTCTGCTTTGCAAGCTGTTTTTCTAATTCAAGCTGTCGTCGTCTCTCTTGTTCTTGTCTAAAAAAAGGTAAAGAATAAGTTAAAAAATTTTTGGGAAAAAAAAAAACGGAATTTGAATTATTTAGCTATGTTAATATTTGATGCTTCACCAAAAAAAAAGAGTACTTTAAGTAAACTGATCAAACAATGACACAAACTAAGTTGATTAAAAATTACTAGGTAGCTTAGGAGATGGAACACAAGTATAATCAAAGTAGGCAAGCTTTCTGATATGTTATTGAATGCTAGAATTGATTATTGAATGAAATAATTAGGTTATTGAAAATCTGCATATATACATATATGCTATATGCATCAAAGCAACATAGCACTATAAGTTTTAGAAATTTTTTATAATTTCTAAAGAGATATTAGATTAAAAACCTGTTCTTTAACCAAAGCCCTATGATTTAGATCAATAACATTTCTAAAAACTTCTAAACTTTATTTGTATCAATAGATTTCATAATCAGATAAAGTAACAATATGTAATTAAAATATACTCAATGTTGCGTATAATCAAAATGTTTAGTTTCGCAGTATTATTATTGTTATTTCCACGTATACAAAAGCTAAAAGAATAAAACAAATATGCTAAAAAGTAATATTTTCTAAAGTGTTATTTCAAGTTAAACAGTATTGAAAAATGAACTGCTTAGATTATTTGTTTATATTACAATTTTTGGAAGACCTTATTCTTTCTCTTCTCTCTTGTTCTTCTCTTTCTTTTCTCTCCCTTTCCTCTTGTTCTTTACGTTGAGCTTCTAACAAAGCAAGTCGTCGTCTTTCCAACTCAGCCTGTCCTTTCTCAAAATTTTCCTTCCTTTTATCTTCAAAAGTGGCTAATTTAGTCAATACACAAAAAAACATGTTATTAGATTGTGAAAGATATACAGGTAGCAGAATTTAAGTTGAAGATTAGGAAAATTAAACGACAATGAAAATATGTTTAAGAGGAAGGGGAAAAAAAAAGAAAATATAGTAATCAGCATAGATAAATATAGTATATTAATTTAGATCTTATTCAAGTAAATCTGTAAGAGATCTTTTTTAAATAATAATAAAGGTAGAAGAACAACTAATAGTTGTAGTATTTGAAAGCAATGTTTCAAGTTAAATAAACCAGGAATCTATATGTGTTATACTTTCCCGTTATAACATTTTTAATATCTTCTGTTTCAAGAATATTGATAATCAATAAATTATGCACAGTTCATCTAATTCAAAACATTTTTCTTAATGCAAAAAAAGAGATTTTATGAACTTTCAATTGCTTAACCCCCTAAACACAATAAAATATGAAAGGCATGTGAAGCACAAGCTAATAAAGTAAAATCTCAAAGTTAGAAAAAAAAAACAATTATGACTCAATCTTGTCTCAAAACTTACCTAATTTTAATAAACTAATGTACTATGGCATTTCTCATGAAGCAGTAATTCTATTGTTAACCTTTCAGCCACTACCTTATTTTATTTCAATTTTATTCCCTGTCTTGCATCTAACCGGAACCTATAACCGCGAGCTTCGCCGTCTTAGATTCCTGGTTCGATGTCATATTCGTGCTCTAACTCTCATGCTTGGTAAGTGCTTTTCTTTTTTTTAGTATCTTTCTCCACTTGCTTTGAATAACATTGTTTTGATGAAGATAAACTATTTTTCATGATAAATAATTTTTGCAACTGGTTTAGAGCCTAATGTATTTATGTGGTGTTTACATTTTATTTAATTCTTCTGATCCTCATTGCAGTATCTCGTACTTAAAGCAAACTGAGAGGACCAGGGGTGTTAACCCAGATCTTTGCCCTCCCCCTCCCACGTGGGTCTCATACTGCGGCTGAAAATGACTGTAAACTTCCTTTTATGATTTATCTACATTATTCATCAGTAAAAAACTAAAAATAAAAACTGTCATCAAGAATTTCTAAAAGGGTCACTTTTTTTCTCTTTATGTCAATATGTCACATAAAATGTTAACATTGCCTGAAACAACAAAATTGGCTAATATAGAATTCAAATCTGGAAACTACAGAGACCTGGTTTGCTGATGGTTTACACAGCATGTACCAATATTGAAGTTAATTTTATTTTAAATGTTAAATGCTGAAAATAATGATTTCACATAATTATGATTTTTAATAGAATAGCCAAAGTTATTTTTTCACAGGATTAAGAGACAGTAAAATAGTTTATAGTTTCTTTTTTTGTTTGTCTCTCAGGCTAAATTAAACAGCTACACTGACATTTTTGACTAAACTAAAAATACCCACAAGTACTAAAATCTTTAGAAAGGGGAAAAAACTCTATTATTGCACAGAAAATAAGCCTGAAAAATTCAGTATGTCACTCACAAAATTAAACAATGTAAAATAAAATTCTAAATGCATGTTTAGAACTAGAATGTTTAATAAATGTTATAATGTTATGTAGAATGTTTTATAAAACTTACTTTGTGAAATATTTTTATCATCTTTGAAGTCTCCCAAAAGATTAACTTCACCTAAACCATGACCAGAGGCAGAACCAGCTAAAAAAATGTTAAGCATTTAAGTTTAGAATACAAAGTCATTTAAAACATAAATAAGCATTAAATGTATGAATTTATTTTAACTTTTTTCATATTTGGTTCACTTTACCAAATACACAGTTTTTCGAAGAAGAGACTAAAATTAAACGATTGCTGAAGATACAGATGTATAAAACGTTATTAGATTAGTTAAGATTATAGAGTGATAAAAAGTTGAAAAATACATAAATTTTGAGGGTGTGGAAATGTAGGGGAAAATTTCTTTTCAATCAGATTAAAAATTTTTTTTAGTGCAACTAACTATAAGTGAACCTAGTATTCTATTCTAGAGAAACTAATTTTCTCATACAATTTAATTTATTTATAATAATTAGTCTAGCTAGCCTTATTATTTATTCTTTACATTATTTATATCTTTTCATAAATTAAAAATTAAATAAAAAATGTTTCATACTTTTTGATTTACCAACTTTTATCTTACATTCTAATATATTTCTTTTATGCAATATTTTGTTAAATAATAAATTGAAATTCCTGTGGCAGAATCGCGGCAACAGAGAATGTTACAGAGTTTTTGCAGAAAAATTTTTCTTTAGGAAAATAGAAATTTTTTCCTCACTGCAAGAATATTAGAAAGATTTTTATTTTCTGAAGAATTATATTCAAAAAAATACTTTTCTTGCACAGTAGGAGAGAAAGAAATTCACACAAATTTTCTATTCTCATTTGAGAAATAAAAAGTCAATAATGACTTGCTTCAGCAACATTTCAAATTGATAATATAAAAAAATATCTATATATATTAAGAAAATAGGAAAGTTTAAAATATAATTCATTTTAGAAATCATGTTCCTTCCTTTCATTTTTTAGAGGACACCATTTTAGAGGACACATTTTAATAAAATATGACTCTTTTTTTTATAAATTTGTTGATTAAAATCTATAAAATATTTTTAATATATTATGCGCATGAAAATTTTAAATCACGCATTTTATTGTTCAAACCTTGCACCCATTTCATCCTTAATGTATGTAATGTTTAGTTCATTTTCTTGGCAATTATTTCTACAAATTTTAACTTGTTCCTTTTTTAAAAAATAAAAAAATCCCAGAGTCTATTATTCATATTCTTTGTTCAAAAAATTACCGAGATTATTAAGGCACCCAAAGTACGAATTGAGGATTCAGGACGCCTCAACTCTCAACACGCCTGGTTGGCACCGATATCATCGTTGATCCATAGGGTGTTTCAATCACTCCTTCTACAGTTATTGCTACGATTTTCCACATTTAAAAAAATCCTTGTCATTTTTTTTAAACAATTTTATTACACACGAAACTCAAATCGCTTATTAGATAATTTACTTTTTTAATGAGGCGATTTCATAATTTTCTTTACTTTTATGCAGTTATTGCTAGCACTACCAATTTCCATGGGATTTCAAAATTCCAGTTATTTTTCAGTTGATATTATTTCCACAAATAGAATTTGAATTACGCATTCAAATAATAATTTATTGATGCAAATCACAATGTACGCCTATAATATCGTAAATCTACAATGTATCAATTGTATTTTCGACAGTTACTGTTATTGATTTTGACGTGGTTTTTAAGATCCATTATTTTTTAAATTATGTTTATTACAATAATCGAATCTCGATACAAAGCAAGTATTTGAGTAACCTCTATTTAAAGAGTCTGATTCACGTGATATCATTGTCGATCCTTCTATCAGTAGATTCACAATTTTTAATTTGATAATGATTTACAAAATGCGAAAAAAGAAATCATTAGTGCGTTTATCCCCTACTAAGAATATCGCCACAGAATAAAAATAAATTATATAATGCATATTCTATTAAAAAAATTTATATACAATTCATTTTATCCAAATAGTTTTGTTTGTAAACACAATGCTTTTGTTACTTTAAATTAGTAATATATAAATTTGTTATTAAAAGTATCTTGCAAAAAGATATTAGTGCTAGAGAGGTTTGTCGCAGTAGTAAAAAATTAATTTATTACTTAAAATAAATGGACATTTAAAAGTGGCTTCGTCTTTGCCATAAATGAAGTAAAATGTACCAGAAATGAAAAACGAGGCTTTCAGTGTAATTACATGGACAAGAGAAAAAATATACTATTCAATAATGCTAATAAATTTATTTTTAGCAACACATTCCAATTAACAATCGGACATCTTTCGTAACCCTTTTTTATTTGAAACATCTTTCAGATTTCGTTCTCATATCTTTTCTAATGAAAGAAATTAATAAAAAATCTAAATGATTATTTTAAAACCATGTGCTTCTCAAAATGGTATGTTCTTGAAAAAAAGAGGAAAAAAAATGATCAGGAATATCAGAACAAAACCCTAAAAATCGGGACAAATAAAGACAGAACACCCCCTTTTTTTTATCAGAAAAATCAATGCAACTACAAACCCCGCACAGGCACTCAGAAGAATAAAATATCCCTTCATAATGATTTTGAGCATTTGGCCCACGGTGGTAGGATTTTCGTAACAGTTCTGTAAGTGTATTTCGAAATGGAATTGTGGAGCTTCTCAGAGAAATGTAAAATTAACTAAGTTAAGAAAGATGATGTAAGCATTAAAAATATCTACATTATATGATAGTTACATAAGTAAACTGAGCAAAGAGTTCAAGGAAATAATTATAGTTCTGCAAATGAATTTATCTAAATATCCTTTCTTTTACTTACTAGACTGTATACTCGTTGACCTTTTGCGTCGATGAGATGGTGGAATAAGATCATTTGGAAGAACACCAGGTAATGCTTCACCACTTTTAACAGATTCAGCTAGATGCATTGCAAGTACAAATTCTTCGCACGAAAGCCTTCCATCTCCGTCAATATCTGACAAGGACCTAAAAGGATAGAGTCTTTTATTTAAAAACTCTTCATAGTTTTAAGAAGAAAATAAAAATGGTTCAGTTTTTGACAATAAATAAGATGAAACAAAACAAAAATTGTCAATTGTTAAAAATGGATTAAAGTATCGTACATAAATGATGTCACACCTTTTCTGAATATTTTTGTTTCTACTTTGCCTTTGTTGCATTCAAAATTTATAACACAAACTTTTAGTTTAAAAACAAAGCACTATGCAGAGATGCCAACTTGCTCCGGACAGGGAATAAATATTTTCGAGTGGTAGTTTATTAATTGTGATTATTGGTTTAATACATTCAATTTATTAGGTTCTAATTCACCACTATTTCTAAATAATTCGAAGACTTGTATAATTCAACACTTCGTGGCAGTTAAGTCATGCTGAACCAAGTAAAAAGTCAGCAAAATTAGTCAAATATGCGCAAATTTTAGTTATATATATATACCGTTTTTTAAATAACAATGGCTTGTCCAGACCAGTTGGCATCTCTGACTATGTTATGGATCATAATTTCAAATTTTAATTTTGAACTCTGCATTTTAATAACAATTGTGAGTGTAACAATAAAAATTACTTGCATACTTTTTTGACAAAAAAACAAACAAACTAATATTTAATCTTCTAATATTAAAAGTTTCTTTTTTTAAACAAAAAGTATGTATGAGGTCACATTCCTTGTTTTTCCTTTCTCCTCCTTGTAACAATTTTATAATTCCCCGTCCTCTTCAAAAAAGACATGGTTTGAGAATGGCCTTTTAGTTGAATATATTTCACCAGACCGAGTTGTATCTTATCGCTCTGACCACTATACACAAGAGATACTCTTACGAGCAATGGCTGCAGGTTTTTACTGATGGATCCGCCACTTTTTCAACTGGTAGAGCTGGAGTCGGTGCTTACTCCAAATATTTCAGCCTTAGAGAACCTCTTGACACTTGGGCAGATAATTTTGATGGAGAAGTGTTTGCAATCCTTATGGCTATTACAGCTATTGGTGAACCATCTGAACAAAACATTGCCATCTTTGTCGATTCTCAGGCTGCTACTCAGACCATTTCTGAGCATAATTTATATCCCTCTGAACTCGAATTTAAGTGTAAACAACACATTGACTCTCTTCTTTGTTCTGGAAGACAGGTAGTCTTCCAGTGGATCCCTGGCCACAGTGGCATTTACGGAAATGAATGGGCTGACATGTTGGCTAGAGAGGCTTCAACACTGCATCCATCTTCTCATCCAGTTCCCCTTAGAAATGCAAGGCGGCTTCTTAAGAGCAAATGCAGGCACAGAACAATATCTGCTCTTAGGGACTTAGCTGATGGAAAATCCTGGGCTAGCTTTCTTAATGACCATCAGCGCTCTCACCTTTCCCTCCTTCCCAGAGCTGAGGGAGTCGCTTGCCCTAGATTAATTACTGGACATGACTACTTGCAGGCCCATTTATTTAAAATTAACTTGGTCAATTCACCTCTTTGTGTGCTCTGTAACACTTCGCCTATGACTGGGGAGCATTTATTTGATTGCCCCTCTCTTCTTGGCATTCGTTCCTGTGATGACTTTCGTGCCCTCTCACCTTCTGGAGCTACTTCACTATTGTATTGGACTGCAAGACGCCTTATGTCTAAGAAGACGATGGCGGGCGTAATTTTTAAAAAAAAAAAAAAAGTTGAATATACACCAGCCAGAATAATAAAAAGAAAAATATTCATTAATATAAAAAGAAACTGGGACACTATCTCCTAATCGGGCAGTGTTTAAGAGCCGACAGTATGTAATGTAGTCATTCTTCTGGCATCATTAGCACAGACAAAAAATTTGTTGAAAAGTAGTAGTAAACACATTTAGTCATTGGTACAGGAACAAAAAATATGACTAGTATGCACACATTTTCACTGGTATGTTTATATGTCTCTATTAGATTTTTTCAAAAGGAAATCACAATACAAAGAATGTCAGAAGTATGAAGAAATATGTTATTTTAACACCGACCAAAACATAAAACAACATATTATCCTTTTTTGGATGTATAGCTGGATTGGGGGAGCACTGATGATGGTCTGAGTCCAATTTTAGTGGTTTCATACCAACAAACAGTTAATTAAGAGTCCTGTTATAAGAGTTGAAAAAATAAACAAATAGATGGGCAGTGTTTTTGTCCTTGCTGGCTCATTTTTGAGGGAAGTTGTGTCACTTCCTGTTGTGTCTCAGCTAGAAGGAAGTGGGTATTTTTTGTAGTTAGTAATCAGTGGTCTGCCCAGGGCAAATTTACTACCGTTTAGCAGTACCTTCATAGAGATTTATAGTATTTTATCATTGTATAAAATTATCCTTAAATTTAAACATCACAAGGTTTTTATTTATAATGTTTAAGAATTTTTTTATTTTGTTACATGTATGCAAGATAAAGTCGAATGTTTACAATAATATACTCTGTTTAACTGTGTTGATGCAGCAGACAAATTTAGATTAGGAAGATAGTACTGTAGATTCACTCTACAAATTCTGCTGTAAGTATTATAACTATTTGTCCCACAGTTGGATAAAAGAAGTAATAAATTTTATAATCAACATTATTAAATTAGTATTTATAAAAATAACACTTATCCATAAATGTATTAAAAGTTTATTTTTAATTTCAAAAACATATGATGAAAAATCAAAGGATGACACTACAACAGGTGAAAATTACACATGACATTTTAAAATAATTTTGCATCAAATTTGACAGTTAAAATTCTACACATAAGGAGCAAATTTAAGAATTCTAGTAATATCTTGAAATTATTACCTACCATATCTGGGCTAAAATAGGTTGACTCAATCCAGTACTAACAAGAACATTTTTAGCTTGTGCACCTGTCAAAAAGCCTGTCCTAGTTCTATCAAAAGAGTTAAAAAGCTGAGTAAACTTTAATTTGGTTTGTTGAGAAACAGCCCATTCAATCAGAGGGGGTGGAATACCACTATAAAGAAAAGACAAAAAACTTTTCAAATAAAATAAATACAACTAATACGAACATAAAATTTTGCACACTGAAGAAAAATTATAAATTCTGTATATTCTTATAAAATTCAGGGATGAGATTAGCCAAAAAGCAAAAAAGCTGAATTTCCACGATAGTAAATTTTACGCAAGCGCAACCCTTTAATAATAAATTCCAGACAGTTTAAGGTAATAAATAATGTGTTGACATACAATTGTGTACTAATCTATTATTATATAAATGATTACATTGATACTTAACATTTAGTGAAAATAAAAATTACCAATTGAAAAAATAAAGCTGGAAATTATATTTTTCCTCAGTTCACATAAGAGACAATTATTACTTGAAAAACTACCTGGTTTAGCAAATTAAAACTACTGAGAATATACATTAATATTTCATTTCTTTTAATAAATACTGTTATGTGATTTATAGCAAATATATCAGTAATATTACTTTTTAAATTATATTGGAAAAAAAAACTTTAACAATGGACCGAATCATTATGTTCATATTATAGTCTAATCTAACTAGAGCCCTCTGAAACATATCAATAACAGTGAAGTAGAAATATATAGTAACTCCTTAACATACAAAAATTGCTATTTTAGTTTGAAAAATTACATGACAATCAGCAACTGTTTAGATAATTGTTTTTTATTTGATAAGAATTTTGCATTTTATAGCATAAATAACAGCAATTATAAATAAAATTTTGATGATGAGTTAATTAACTCTTTTTCCCCCAAAATTTTTTTTTAATTAAATCCCTTTTTAAGTGATTGCTTTTGTTTGCTATATCTTTTATGTTTGCTATATTTAGTCGTTAGTCCATCTTCAAACATCTTGTGACAAATCCTATTTTTTCTTCTTTGCAAGCACAGAATGTAAGTTTTGAATATATTCCCTTCCAGTTTCTCTGATGTTGTAACACTTACATATACTAATAATCGTCGTTAGAAAAACAGTCACCTTTATAGTAACTAATTAAAAAAAAATTTACTTCTTACAAGAATCGCGATAGTTGATCTTAAAATTGCGTGAATATGAATAACAATTATGGATTTTGAAATCACATGAATATGAAACTAGATATACGATTTTGAAAATGAGAAAATACAAACTGGGATATAGAATTTTTAAAACGCGTAAATACAAATCACGATTCATAATTTTTAGATCGCGTAAATACGAATCATGATGCGTAATTTTTAGATTGCATAAATAAGAATTATGATGCATAATTTTTAGAATGCGTGAATGCGAATCCCAATGCCTTATTTTAAAATCACGTATAAATACGAAAATCAATGTTTGATATTATAAACCGCATGAGCAAATCAACACATTGAATTTTAAACTTGCGCGAATACGAATCGCTACATAAGTTTTTAAAAAGACGTAAATACGAATAACAATATCGGATTTTTAAATCTCGTAAATAAAAATCGCAACATACAATATTCAAATCGCAACACGCAAATATGAAAAGCTATGTTTGATATTAAAATCGTGTGAATAAGAATCGAGATATTAGCAGATTCTAGGCTTGGGACATCTAAAAGGCTTGTCAGAAGCAGTGTTGTTTGAACTACGAAAATCGGATTCATCTGGAGGGCGGATAAAAAATTCGGAAAATCTTATCTGCTGCGTGTAAAAGGGGAGAAAATAGCTAAAATAAGTAAAAATGAGAAAGGATTGATAGCTATGTAGTTTGAATTTTCTGTTTCTCTCTGAAAATCGGTGAATTTTCTGAAAAAGCGGAATACTTATAAAAAAAAGTGAAATTTTTAGAAAATCTGAATTTTTGATAAAAAAAAAAAGCTGAAATTCAAGTGAAAAAAGCGGAAATCCGCTAAAAAGCGGAAAAATCTCATCTCTGAAAATTGAAGATTTTGAATTAAAAAAAAAAAAAAAAGGATATACTTTGTGCTTGAACAAACTAAACGTATGCTGAAACTTCGACTTACAGAACACAAAAGATACACCCCAAGATCAAGACATTAACAATTCTTCTATCGCTCTACACAATTGGAATTCAAATCAGGAATTGGAAGAGATTTGAATACTCTTCAGCTTAAATCATTCGCCATTTCTTTTCATCTACTGAACTTGATTCCAGGGAATCATTTCATACCTTGAAAAATTTGAACAATTTATTTAATGAACTTTCTAGCATTCTACCCTCTCTTAATATTTGGAACTCTTTTATAAATTAACCTAGGGGTTCCCTGCCAAATCCACTTGCACCTGTTTCTTATCTTCCCCATGTTATTTCCTAGTTCAAATTTCTGTTCCTATTGGCTAAACCACTTTAGATTCTTTACTTCTCTACCTTCATTTGACATTTAAACATTGAGGAAGGTTCTTGTTCATAGAACTGAAACTATAGTACGTCAACTTTCCTTATTCACGATGTCACACTAATTTACTTTGAACATGTAAAATTTTAAATGTTCGAGAAACTCTGTGTGTAGGAAGGTAGCTGTATCAAAATAACGATTTTGTGATTAGCAGACATGCTACAGCAGTTTGGGGGGGAGGAGTTGAACTTTACAACGTAATACAAAACTTCAGAAATATGTTTTCGAAATTACAAAATAAATTTTAATAAAGTGGAGAATTATCTATATTAATATTGTGGAGAAAATTTGCTAAAAAAGCAGGGGTTCTGAATCATTCAATCATCACATTTTAGAATACTAGATTTAGAAGAAGAGGTTAGACAGCAAACACTTATTTAAGGTAAATTTATTGCTGAAATTTATACCTTTCCATAGCCTTTTATAGAAAACTAAAATAGTTTAAATCTAATTGCATAGCAACAAAACACAGGAAAAAAAAGACCGATGTAATGGGACTCAAGGTATACAGTTTGGGACTGATAAATTAAAAGGTTAAAACATTTTTCAAATTTTTAAAAATTTTTTTAGAGCAGATTTTTTCAAACTCTCAGAAAATTACCTTAATATATTTTTATTTACTATTTATTTCTAAAAATAGATCTTTTTTAGCTGCTCACACATTTTTGAAAAAGGTAACATCAAATGCTAAATAGTTGTTTCAATTATGGTCTTATGCACATAATATTATGTTATAAGAATAAAATAAAAACCAATTAATCTGTACATAACCAAATCAACTTATAACTTTTATCAAATTAATGAGCTTTACTTTTATCAAACTAATGAGCTAATGAAAAAAATTTTTTTTATTTAAAATTTTTAAAAAGTTAAAATTTAATTTTTTTTTTGTTGCATAATATAAACAGTTTAAGATGTTCATGCATTGATCATGTACATTCCAATAAACTGTAATTTTTTTTAAATCTATACCCTATTTCCCAACTAAAAGATTAAAAAATTATGTCATATAAGTTTTAGAAAAAAAAATTTACTTAATGTACAATTTTAACAAAAGGAATTTTGAGAAGAGCAAATATTTTAAAGTAGATGATAATAAAATTAAATTAAAGCAATTAATTTCTTACAGTGTGGGGTACTTTTTGTAGCTCATTTATGAAGGACATATAAAAAGTGAAGTTTTGAATGACTTAACCTTTTTCAAACCAATGGGAGAGAAAATGTCTCCTTCATGAAGGTACCTATGCATACAAATACGAGAATATTGAACTGAGACTAGAGTGAAAAAGGCTTGTTTCATATTTAATATTGTGGATCATATCTATTTTCAAGCTATCAGGGACAGAGGAGGTTAAACTCAAATCAGAGCTATACTTTTAAACTATACCATCTTGCTAAAAGGATTGGGTTAATAGTCAACTATTTTAAACATTTAAATAATTACTAAACTTAATAAAGAAATGAAAAATTGTCAATTTTCCCCCTCAAAATGAAAATCAATAAAATTAAAAGAATATTTCTAAACTTTTGCATATTTTTAAGAATTTTAACAATGCAGTGTTGAATTATTTTTTTAAATACAAAATAATGTCACAAACAAGTTATATTTTTGAAAAATTGTGATACTTCTTTATAATTACACTTTTGTATCATATTCATAATTGAAGACAGCACTGATTAGAGATGGACAAAATTTAACTAAACAGTCATGAGTATCTTTGACAAACTCTCATCAGTTATAAAAAAAGCAATTTTTTTTTTGTTGCAAAAAATCATTTATTTCATTCAAATAAAATGCCTTTGAAGAATGCCTCAAAGAAAAAGTATTTTGAAGTTCCATCAATTTTAAATGATAAAAAATACCAAAGTTATAATTCATGATATTCAACAAATTAAAAATATACATATATTGAAAGAAAAAAAAACTTAATTATTACGTTGGAGAATCCTGACTGCTGACAGAGCAAGATCGTTGAGGTTTGTCAACTGGAGAGGCAGGTCTTACAAGTCCAACCAAATTACCTATAGATGTAGGTGGAAAAATAGGTACTGGTGCTCCTTAAATGAAAAAATAGCATTTAGAAACACAAAATAAATAACAAATTTTTTTTCTCTCTAATGGATGAAAGAGAATTATTAGCATATTTTTTAAAGGAACAGTAAAATAAATTTAAATTAAGTTCTAATTCATAAAAAAAATTAACTACATATCCTCTAAGTAATGGAACTGAAGAAAAAAAAAAGTTGCATTACTATCCGTACATTTCATTCACTGATTCATAAAAGTTAAATTGTATTAACACACAGATAATACTTTATAAAACTTTTAAACACTTAGTAGATTATGCCAAGTAATATAGTATTGTAGAGTTTCATAAAATTTTTGTCCTTAAAATACATATATATAACAGGTTAACAACATACATATTACTCAACATGAATAATAACATAAAGAAAACAATTTGCAATTTACTTTCAATTTATACACTTTATTTTATGATATTTACAGTTAATAACATTAATAATTGAATAAATTTTTTTTAAAAATTAAATTCTATTCAGAAATTTAAATAAATATAACACAGTGTTAAATGAGACAATAATTAGATTTAGGATCATATAAAAAAGAGGAAGCAAATCATTTTAAAAGAATGTTGAAATACATAAATTTAAACATAAATTAGATTAAGCAGCATAAATTTTTAAGAGACTCAGTAAACAATATCTCTATTCCAAAAGTATTTTTTTTAAAAAGTAAATTTCCATCAGAATTTCAAAAAAAAAAATCTAAGGAAAGAAGCAAAATTAGAATTAAAATTACATTAAAAATCAAGTACTATTGCAAAATCTTTTAATATCTCAAAATTTTAGAACAAATATGCAAAGATAATTTGCTCTGAAATTCATTCAAGTTCACAAATTATATCCTTTACAAAATCTGTTTTGAAGAGAGAAAGAAAAAAAAAAAAAACCTAAGTAAAAGCAGAGTAATTGTAGAAAAATATTTTAAATTAATTTTCTACTTTGACTGCTTGTATTATAAAAGAAAAGTAGGATTCCCATTTCCCAAATTCATTGAAACTTAATATTCTCTTAATTTGAAAGATGTTACAGTTGAATAAGAAAGGATAAAAACCTGCAATAGGACGAAAGGCTTGTACACCAGGAATGATTGCAGCAGCAGGAACTACCATAGCAGCTGGCAAAGTTTTAGGCAGCTCAAAACCTTTGAGCTTCAGTTCAATCAAGTGCATAGCTATAATAAACTCATTTATATCCATTTTTCCATCAGCATCTCTATCAGCAAGAGCCCTATCAACCAGTAACAAATATAAATATAGTAAGATTTCCTACAGTTGAGTTGTAAGAATTTTATAAATTGCAGTTTTCTGATTTACGAGCTCATAATTTACTATGTAACTGATTTAATTTTGATAAAAATCAAAATTTCACAAATTACAATAACTTTAATTTTACAAATGATAACATATCAAAAATAAAATTGCCATCCCTTTTAAGACAATTGTTCTATTATCTTTTTTTTAAAAAAAAGACAATAAAAAAAATGTAAGCTGAAATTTTTTAAACAGATGCTCAAATTTTATGCACAACCATCATTATAAGACTTTAAAAATGTCATTTACTAATATTATTTATTTTATTATGCTAAATAAATTTATTTACTAAACTTTTAATCTTATTCCTTTTCTGTAAATTTTTTATTATTATTCAAAACAAAAAGCTCTTTCTCACACTTTAATATTCCCATCCTGTCTTTTAATCTATTTTTAGTTCAAGTATGCATTAATTAACATTATAACGAATATCCCTCTAACTCCAGGGAATGGGAAAGACTTTTTCCCTGAACCTACTTAACAGTCCAATTACAATGATTAAGATTTCTATTCTACTGATTTACTTTGCAAGATTTTCCTTAACTTTTATTGAGGAGCACTAAGTTTTTTTGTCACTTGGATATTCATTCTCTCATCATTATGAGTAAATAAAATTAATTTGATCTTTTTTAAATCCTGTGCTTGTTTGTTCTGCTCGCACGACTGCCACTATTAGATATATATTATATTCTTGAGCTTATAAAAATGAATGATATCAGCTTTCATTATAATATAATAAGTTTATGAAATTAAGAATAAAAAAAATTAGTAGTACTAAAAGTGATTGTGTTTAAATAATTGCCTTTCTGCTTAAAAGAAGAAGTTAAAAAATTTTTTTTCCTCCATCAAGCAGATATGATAAATATAACAAATTTACAGGAAATAAAGGATGATAAACAGGAAATTAAAATTCTTACATATAACTTCCTTGTACAGAAATTTAAATTATATTTTCAATAACACTCTGAAGAGGAGGAACAATATTGAGTGTTGTTCTTTAAGATTTATTGCCAAGGGTACCATATTTCTGGAACTTTAAAGGGTCCAGGGACAATTATTTTTATTAACTATAATAATTTTGATTTTATTGAAAAAAAAAAATTTTTTTTTTTGGTGCTTAAAAGACTTTTGTCTAATTCTATTCACTGAGATAGATGCAACGATACAATCATGACACAAAAAGAAGAAGTCTCCACATTTCTGTACATAGAAATGTGTACATTCAGATAATAAGTTATATTTGAACACAATTATTTAAACAGGCATACTCACCTCCAATGATTGACATATCATTAATAAAATTTAAACTAAATTTGTATGTCATAAAAATACTTCAGTTGCTCGTTTCAAGGAATTATAAAATTGATTTTAATAAATTAAGGCAAAAACCCATCAGGATTCTAAATGATCCATCTTTCTAGGGTCACTGTGAAAAATTTTGTCAAAAGCCTCACTAAGTCTAGTGACAGTTCTGTTGACATCTATCACAAATTGAAGCTTGATTTTTACAAATAGGAAGACTTTATTTCTTAGTGTCATAGTTAATATATATATAAAAATAAAGTTTAAAAAAGAAAAATGTATAGATAAGAAATAAAATTACCATATATGTGCTAAAATTTGAGGAGGAAGCCTTGACATAAGAAACAAATTCTTAGCTTGTTCACCTAAAGAGAGAAAAAAAATAAATAAAGATAACTGAAACATTGTAAAACAACCCTTAACGAGATGGTAATGTTGTTCACTTTTTCTTTTTTTATGGTACAGTTAAATTTTGCTCATGATGTTATTTTACTATTATACATCTGACATCACATTTTAAAATTCACTACACAGCGAAATTTTTATAACATACCATCATTCAAAATACAAGAAAGGTAAACTTAATAAATTTAGAAAGCTTCCTGTCTATCCAAAGTAGAAAAAAAAATGACATTCTAAAGATAATTTATGTAGAATCAAAATTTGAAGGAGTTTCAGCATCAAAATGTATAATTGTTTTATATTATTTCAGTGTTTCAGACATCACTATGACAAATTTCACATACTTTCATACCACGTTAAAAAACAAAAACATTGTAATTATTATAATATTAATAAATGAGAATTTTTTACAAACATTTAAGATAAAATAGTGTTGCATATAATTGCTTTTTTTACACTAGCTACTTTTAAAGTTTTTCTATTAATTATCATATTATTAATTAAAGACATTTGGAAGAATATGATCTAGTAAAATATGTGAAAAAAAGATCACAATTCAAATTAATTGCAGTTCAAAATCAAATCAAATTGTAAAGCTGATAAATTTATAAATTTTTTATTTCTAAATATCAACTCAAAGTTTAAATATTTTTATAAGAAACATTTACTTTCAGTTAAAAAATTTAAGAAATTTAGTATATGTTCTTTTACCCACCTTATTAAGTCAATAACATTACCTTAAACTTATTAAAAAAAAAGAGAAAGAAAAGAAACAGTATACAACGTATCTTACTAATAAATAGAAAATGTATCTTACTAATCTGCATCAATCTTTTATAAAGCTTTAAATATAAGGGGAAAAAATCCTTGACAATATTTTTTTTATTTTTAAATGGCACTGAATTTATTGTTCTTTGCCATGGAAAATGGTGTTGCTCATTTTGAATTGCCTGGTGAGTACCTTGTGACCAAAGTCATAGAGGCGAGCTACATGCACACACAGAGAGAAACATTCATGCCCTGAGCGGGATTCAAACCCACAGCCATTGACTTTACTGTCAGGCTTGTTAACCGCTTTGATAACTTGACGAAGATAAAAAATAATCAAGAAATAGTATATTTTCTAATAAAAATCTGAAAACTAAGCAGCATAATTAAAAAAAGAATTATATTAAAGTTAAATGCATTAAAAAAAAACTAATTATACATACCAGTAATATATCCATTAATAGGTTGAAGCTGAAAAAACTTCTCCTCATACTTCTTTTTAGCCTCAGGGCGAATATTATAAATATCCATTCCTGCAGGATTCATCTTCTTTTATTGTGATAATATATGCAACAAACTAAGAAATTTAATGAAAGATATTCTTGGGCTACAAAGAAGAAAAAATTTAGATAACTATAGATGAAAAATATATTAAGTTTTTATTTCATGCAAATATTTCAAGTTCTAAAAATTAAGGAAAAAAAATCATAATTATGGATAAATTTATTTTTATCAAAATCAAAAACTTTAATAAATAGTTTGATAAACTGATATCATTAATAAAAACCTAAACCGTTCACTTCACTTTTCTAATACTTATATTTTAATAAGTATTTGTGTAAATAAGAGATTTTTAAAAAAAATAAAAGAATGAATAAATTTACTCCAGAAATGCCAGCCCCTGGTACCAGTACTTGCAATAAATTAAAAAATTGTATTTGCAGGATTGAGAAATGTATACATTGGATTGTATTATTTAACTATTTTATTACAGGTGCCAATACAAAAAACATAGCAAAAAAAAAAAAAATTGAAGTTAAAGTTTAAACATGGAATAACAGGAGGGTCGTATAAAGGCATACAGAATTACTTCACAAATTGAGACGAGCATACAGGTTCATTATTTGTTATAAATGTTTTAGTGACATAAGCAGGAGTGTAGAGAATTCTAAAAGTGTAATATTTTCCCAGAACATAGTTTTCTTAATTTGAAATTGCCTCCATTATAGTGCTTTTTATAGACACAATAAAATTTTCAAAATACTTTCAGAAAGTAAAGTTTCATCGTTAAAATGTTATATTTTTCTTTAACGAACTAAAAAATAATCATTCAATATTAAAGAATTCTAGAATAACCTTGAAATAAAAAATAACTGAAATCAAAATATATTGAAATAAAAATTTATGAAACTAAATTTAATGGCCCACCGATAAACTTATGGATTTCTAACTAATAAGTAAGGAAATCAACATTTAAAGTTATTTGAGGTCAATTTACAAGACTATTTTTTTCTCAGATAATTTTCCACTTAATTTTATTTTCACTTGGAAAAACTTTACAAAGCAATATATTTCTTTATAATAAAAAAATTTGTAGCAACATTTTTTAATTGACCAAAATTTCATGAGGGTTGCCTGGATTTCCTCTGGACACCGTTTACATGATCAAACATATACTCCTGATACATAAGAAGTTCAAACTGCATGAAGCAGTATCAAAATCTGTGGTGAGTGACAACTTTTTAATGATCAGGTGTCTAAATAACAGCACCTAAATAAAAGTTCGAGTACAAAATAAGCCTACACATTCCAGTATTTCACAATTTTGATATAAATGGGTAAAATTTTAAGGTAAATAAATCCCCAAACTATCAGAGGGTTGTGTGAATTTTCCTCGAACCTTGCGATCGGACATATTATTCATCTTTGTTATTAACAAAAAGTTGCTCTGTTCAAAGTATAGGAAACATTAAGCAGCATTAAAATCTAACTGACATTTTAATCACCATGTCCGAAAATAACAGTACCTAGATAAAAATTAAGGAATAAATTGTGCCTACATTATCTATTACTTTTTAACTTTGGAATAAATAGTTAAAAAAAACCCTAACTATTAAAATCACAGTGCACTGCTATTGATACTTTATAAATTGTGGAAATAGGTAACTAATAACAGGTAGTGTGTGGTGATAGACTTTTTGCAAAAATAGACAAGCACTTTCCAGGATGAGAAGGCATAAAATAGAGATTTCCATCAGTACTTGTGCAAAATAATTGCCAATTTTTGGCAACTTCTGAGAGACTAAAACACATCACAGAAGGTGACCCACTCAAGAGGTATCAGTTGTAGGCAATTTCTTTTAAATGTTTGCAAGTTTAGAATACCTTTGGCGTCTCGGCAATATGGCATGAACATGTATCAATACAGAAAGTTCCCACTGGCATCATCTAGATGGTTATGCACCACCCCAATTGAAAATACTATTTAACTTTTTAGCAACAATAAATACAAAAAGGAGTATTTGTTCTGATTCATTCTATTTAGAAAGACACTATTCATTCATTTTATTTAGAAAGACATTTGTTAAAGGAACCTTAAGTAAAAAATAGATTTTTGTCTCAGTATTAGTAAACCCAATATTTAATCTTGAGGTCCATTTTAAAATTCATACCCAGCTTAAATTAATGCAATAAAAATAACTGCTTTCATGTTAAAAAATAAAATAAATAATTTTAGGAGTTTTAATTGAAAACTGGAAAAAAATAAAGCATTCACTAATTTTTCATAATGTTTTAGGTAAGTTTTAGTACGTTGAAGAGAGAAAGAAAAAAAATTGTTCACGTAAACTGGATGTTTTCCCGAAACACAAAGCAACTTGTTACAATTAATGTAAACTATTAAATAGATAAATCTTTTTACAATTTCAAATTAGAAAAATAAATGAAGGTAGATAGTAGTTTAATCTTCAATTAAAAAAATTCATGAACTGTAAAAATTCAATCAATTAAAAAAGAAAAAAAAAATTAGGGAGGATTACTCACTTTCATCCCACAGATCTTGCTTCTACAATATTACTATTAATACATTTTACTTCGATATAATTTCAGTTGATGTTTAATGCAACATTAAAGATTGTATTCTCAAAGATACTTTTGCAAATAACTATTTCAGACTCTGAGATTCGATTAAACTTCAACTATTAAGCTTATTATTTTGATTTCTAAAGAAAATTGAAGACATGACAGGAAAGAGCGGTTATATCGTAAACTTATTTAACTGTATTAGAAATTGAAAAATTCAAATACAGTTATAAATTAAAAACAATTCTATATTTCTTTCAGACTTTTCAAAATTAATTTATGATAATTCATACAGAATTAGAAATTTTTAACAAAAGAGAAATTTTCACATTTGGCGAAATTTTTACGATCGAGAAACGGANTGTTACAATTAGTGTAAACTATTAAATAGATAAATCTTTTTACAATTTCAAATTAGAAAAATAAATGAAGGTAGATAGTAGTTTAATCTTCTATTAAAAAAATTCATGAACTGTAAAAATTTTAAAATACAATCAATTAAAAAAAAAAAAAAAATTAGGGAGGATCACTCACTTTCATCCCACAGATCTTGTTTCTACAATATTACTATTAATACATTTTACTTCGATATAATTTCAGTTGATGTTTAATGCAACATTAAAGATTGTATTCTCAAAGAATTTACTTATATTCAAAGATACTTTTGTAAATAACTATTTCAGACTCTGAGATTCGATTAGACTTCAACTATTGAGCTTATTATTTTGATTTCTAAAGAAAATTGAAGACATGACAGGAAAGAGCGGTTACATCGTAAACTTATTTAACTGTATTAGAAATTGAAAAATTCAAATACAGTTATAAATTAAAAACAATTCTATATTTCTTTCAGACTTTTCAAAATTAATTTATGATAATTCATACAGAATTAGAAATTTTTAACAAAAGAGAAATTTTCACATTTGGCGAAACTTTTACGATCGAGAAACGGAAACTTTAAAATTCAGTCAACCAGTTCTTATTTCGTAAAAGTACCAAATAAATTTTATGAATCTGAAAAAATGAATTGAACTCGATGGTTACGGAGATTGAATCGCCCATATAACTCTTACAACGGACAAAATAATCTAATTTGGCGACAGAGAAAAAGCGAATTGTCACTTAATCTAGTACTTGTGCATTTATTTCCCACGACAACACTTGCACCACAGCAGCCCTAGTCAGCTGTGTTTATGTTTATCTGAAATAACTACAAGTTTTAATTCAAAATTGAATTTTCGTAAGTATTCTTCGAGAATAATTTAATAATATTATAATTTTAACACACCTTCTAATCATCAATATTGTTATAAAATATTAATCAAACATAAGTGTTTCTCAAAAATTTGATATTTATTAATTTTCTTATTTTAACAACACGCCGTTATCCGGTCTATTTGTACAAATGAATCTGAAATGGGAAGATAGAGTTTTAAAGTATGCATAAAATCTTGTATAATCCGCCGGGACTCCATAATTTTATAGTTTTGTTGCAGATTTGCAACGTCTTAAGTTTCATTGATAAAATTCCTTAGAAAGCTAATATTTATACTTTATTATATATTGCAGTGCGCAACTTTAATTTTCTTATACTATATTTTAAATCACTACGAAGTAGAGACTTTCTTTGTATTTATTTTTGTGTTTTTTTTTTTTTGTATACATTGATTTACTAAAGCTGATTAATCATATACTTTTAAAATAATTTCATTATAGTTTTTATTATTTATCTTTTAAAGGTGATTTTTCCTATGACAGCTTTAATTCTTTATAAATTTTTGGATTCTGTTTGGAAACCTTATACCCATAAACTTACATGATAATCTGGATATGTTTGTCAACATGTTATTTATTACTCCTGTAATTTTTCTTTCAATTTTTTTCCAATTTTTATGAAATTTTTTACTATTAATTTAAATAGTTGACATAAGTGAAAGATTATATTGCTTTATTTCATCAATTTTTCTGTTCTTGCATTAAATGTCTTTTTATTTTATTTTTATCACAATACCCTATGGGTCAAAGAGAACAAGGGAAAACCTGAAATGGTCAGGGAATTTTGTTGACTCTGAAAAGCAAGGAATAATCAGGAAAAGTACAAGAACCTGGAAAATATATTTTTGAAATTCAGTATTATGAATTCACAAAATTATTATAATTTTCTTTCATTGAAAAATTATTCAAAAATATTTAAAATAATGTCTTAATTTTCAAGTTTGAACCAAGTATAAGAGTAATATATTAAATGGAGTCGTAAAATATGAAAATGTGACCTATTATTCATAATGTTGTAATTATGATTTGTGACTGAAAGTACTATTACATGTTCTCAATTATAATTAAATTTTATATCTTTTCAGTGATACTACTAGGTCCTTGGATATATGTGCCCTTTTTTATTAAAAGTGCTTCCCTATTTAAAATAATATATATCTCTTTTTTAACAATGTGCATAAAAATTTCAATATTTTATAATTTGGAAAAAAAATGTGATTTCTAAAAGATTCAGTCATAACTTTAGTTTCAATTCTAAAAAATTAAGACCAAAATTTCGATATCAATTCAACTGAAAGTAGTTTTTATTTCCTATTCCTGCTAACAATGAATGAGAAAAATGTTTTCTTTTAAAAATTACTGTAATTTTCCTCTTATAAATCTGCTGTAGTGCTATTTTTGTGGTATTATTACAATTTAATTTTTCATAATAAAAAAACTACACATCCTGGGGGACTAGTTATTACCTTTTCCTGTCTCCCTTACTGATTTAATCGTAAAAGTTTTGGCTTTGGCGAAAAAAGGTAAAAACTATATTGCCCTAAAAAATTTTTTATGTAATTAAGATCAATCTCTTAGTTATCTTCCAGCTTGTTAACAGATCTTTAACTTTGTTATTCTGAGAAAATCAATTTTTCATTGAAAGTGAAAAAATTGCCAAAATGTTGAAAATAAGAACGTTTATTCACTTAAGAAAATAAGGGAATAATAACGACAAAATGAGTAGAAGAAAACTAATTTAACTTATTTTTGTCTCTTATAAAGAAATTAAATTTTATAGGTTATTGTGTGTAATTTGATGTACATTTGCAATAAATTAGGATTCTGAAATGATACATTAATATGTTTAATTTTTTTAGGGATCCTAGTTAAAGTAAAACTTCTCTTTGTTTTAAATATAAAAATGATAATATTTTATGATCTACGCACATATTACATTTATGCTTGTTGGTTTCAGAATTTTAAAAGATAATGAAACGAACAGTAAGAGTTATTTTATTTTTCTAATAAAGTGCCATTTGTTGACTTTCTGTTCAATGTTTTTTTTTGTGCAAGTTTTGCATTATCTGATATCATTAATTTATTTGCAATTTTTTAGAGTAGAAAAATCATGTCATCATAAAAATAGGAAAAAATGGTTAAGAAGAAATCTGCACGTCAAAAGCATCAAAAAGAGGCATTAGTAGGTGATACATCTGAAGAGGAATTGAAAGAAGCAAAGTTTGAAGGTTATTAAAATTTTCTTTTTTATACAAGTATTTGCATTAAATCCTGAGAAAAAATCTTTGTTTTAGTTACCTCCTCCCACTTGTTCTGTAAACACTTAAATTACCACTATTACTAGTCAGTACAACAAAGAATTAAAATTTCTATGACTAAGGTGTTACAATATCCTAAAATGAGCATAAATAATAGAGATTGTAAATTTACTTAATTTTCTAAAGTTCTTGGGGCCTTATTTTTGTCTGTAATAAACTGCCATCCTGTCATTAAGGAAACTTCAAGTTAGAAATGTATATCCTTTTCTGTATTTGGTTAACCGTAACTTCTTATATATAGTTATCTAGTTTTTATCCAATTCCAAGGTTGTGTCGATTGTGATTATATCTTCATTTTAAACTATTGATTTAGAACTACTAAGACACTTGGTACTGTTTTATATTTAAATCTTTCTTGATTTTCTAATTGTAAGTAAGGCCAAAGAAAGTTAANGTATATCCTTTTCTGTATTTGGTTAACCGTAACTTCTTATATATAGTTATCTAGTTTTTATCCAATTCCAAGGTTGTGTCGATTGTGATTATATCTTCATTTTAAACTATTGATTTAGAACTACTAAGACACTTGGTACTGTTTTATTTTTGAGACAGTTGGGGCTAAAAATCTAAAACAATATTTTAAGTACGAAAATATTGCATTTTTATAAATTTCTTTCCACACTTTCATCTTTTAACTCTTCCTACATTTTTTTTTATTAAAACATTTATTATTTAAATCTGTCTTGATTTTTTAATTGTAAGTAAAGCCAAAGAAAGTTAAGCATGCTACTTCACTTTCTATCTTTTTTAATAGATTACAGAGTTGTTCACTCACAAACAAAACTAAAAAATTTAGTACCTACAATTCATAATTTGTAGTGTACAGTGCACGAAGAAAAAACAAACCACCCTGAATAACCTTTGATCTAATGATAGGATCTTCACTTCTTAAATTTTTTGCCACTTCGAAACTAAATTGTATATAATCTAGATGGTAAATAAAATGTAATAGACCAAAATCTGGAAATAAAAATTAACAAAATAAAAAACGAAATTAATTTATTACTTAAAATAAATGGACATTTAAAAGTACTTTTGACTTTGCTATAAATAAAGTGAAATGTACAGTGTACCAAGAAAAAAGAGCAGACCACTCTGAATAACCTTTGATATCATGATCTGATCTTCACGTTCAAGGACTCAATCTTAATGATTTGAGGTGGTGACCTCAAATATACTAATTAATTAGTGCAGATGATATTTTAAGTTATGAAATCAGGCACAAAAACATACTTTTTCTGAAGAAACATACTTTTTTTTTACAACGGATTCAAATTTTTGACCCACAAAACAAAATATTGGCGTAGCTACAATATGGGAAATTGGGTCCCCATAGATTGGTCAGGAGAACAATCCAAAGTTTGAACCCCTTATTGTTAATTTTACTTTTTGCATATTTCCCCATATCTTGAGAACTTTTGAAGTGAAGTAAAAAAATTTTATACAAAATTATAAAATTCGTTTGTCCAAAGATAATTCAATTCAAAAAATAAACTTTAGTAAATGTTTATTTTATTTTAATTAATTATAGTCAAAAAAATTTTGAGTTAAGCCATACAATTTTTTACATCACATTAAAGTGGGTAATTCTACATGGCAAATTACGAAATTTGAGCAAAATCTGTCAAATAGTTCCTGAAAAATCAAATTTTAAAAAAGTGGTATATTTAAAATTACATTTCTCAGGAACAATTAAACCGATTTTGCTCAAACTTTGTATTTTGCCATATTAAATTATGAATTTTTTTTCGACTGTTACGAAATGAAATAATAAAAAAAAGTACATGCTTACTAAAATTTATTATTTTGCATAGAATTATCTTTGGACAAACAAATTTTATAATTGTTTCCAAATATTTTTTAATTCACTTAAAAAGTTTTTGAGGTATGGCAAAATGTGTAAAAATTAATAGTAATAAGTTCGAGCTTTGGATCTCTCTCCTGACCAAACTAAGGGGGACATATTTCCCATATTGCAGCTACCCCCTATACTTTGGGGATCAAAAATTAAAATTTTTCGAAAAAAGGTATGTTATGTTTATTCAAAGAAAGTACGTTTATGTGACTGATTTTGTAACTTAAAATAGTTCTTGCTCTTTTTGATTACCATTTTTAAGGTCACCCCCTCAAACCTCGAAATTTGAGTCCTTAAACATGAAGATTTGATCATAAGTTATTCAGGGTGGTCATTTTTTTGGCACACTATACTTCATTTATATTATAAATTCGATATAGCAAGCATCAGAAACAAGTTTCAGCTATCAGAAATTTGTTAGTTTAAATTGCCTAAAACCTAGAAAAAGACTGACGTTTAAAATGTCTTAAAAAGAAATATTTATAATTGCAATTTTGTATTACCAATATTTAAAATTTATTTAGAAGTGAATATGACAAAATATTTATTTTTATTAATATTAAAAACAAAAATTACGCTTGAATAATTATCAATATTTTAGTGATGAAATTTATATAAATTTTGGTTTTAAATATTATATATGAAATGGTATATGAAATGTCATATAATCACAATGCATAAAGTTTTTTGAAAAAAAAGATGACTAAATAGTTTTGATGAATTGTTTAAATGAATGCCATTTGTTTTTGAAATTAAGCCTGTGCTTTTACAATTAGTCAAGACAGTTATGAAATGCCTTACAAAATATCATTTAACTAGTAAAAATGATTAATTAGCCTTTGTATAAAGGACTACTCCATTTTCAAACTGGAATTGAATCCAATTTCTAATTAGTGTTTGTTTTTTAATTTTTTTTTTATAGAATTAGCATTAATGGTCAGAAAAAAAAGGACAGATTCACAGAGGAAATAAATCTTTCTGTTTATTCCTATCAAAACTGTTTCTATCAGATTTCTTCAGATTAGGTGAAGTTTTTATCAGCAAATTTTCAGTCTCATCCTCTCTAGAATCAGAGAACAGATTCTGAATCTGGTATCTGATCATCAGATTCTGAATTCATATCTGAAAACAAATGTAGTGAAATATTGCATAAATGCTTATAACTTTATATCATATTTTATCATTAACATCCCACTTTCAACAGGAATCGGTCAATTTCTAAATTTGCAGATATGTGTGTTTGGTCTGTGGCATGTGATATGTGACTCTGTATTTTGACTAATATAATTTTCTGTATATTTTGTTTTAGGTAAAATATGCCAGCACATTACGAGAGGTTTAAACTTCTCGAGAGTGAAACGAAATTTAAAAGCTGCAAACATTGCTTTATGCGGGGTATGACATTTTTTTTATGATCTAAAATAACTTTGTCTGTTTTTTTTATTTTAAAATAATTATTTTAATGTGAAATTTAGGGCTGTTCTGAAAACTTAGAGGCAGGAAATGATGAGTTACCTGAAATCTGGTTATGTTTGCAATGCGGAAATCGAGGTTGCGGTCGAGTGTCGACCCATCAGCATGCCATTCAACATTTTAAAACTATTCACTCTGATTGCCATGCTTTAGTTTTGAGTTCTTCATCTGGTGTTGTGTGGTGAGTTAGTCAATCTCTCTTTTTTTTAAAAAAACTGTAATTTCTTTTTTTTTTCTTCAATTTAATCTGCTTCAAATCAAATAAAGTTTAAATAGTATTTGTTATAGTCTAGTTTGTTTGAGAATTTTTTGATGTTCACTGCAGCTACCATGAATAATCTCTTTAAAGATTTATCTTTGAACAAATACTGGGTAACATGTAGTTGTCCAGAGTTTCTTGATACTTGATAGATTTTTAGCTTTTTCTTCTGATATTTCTGAAATTTGTGTTCAGAACATCCAATGTTTCAAAAATACAAATTTGTATTTTAAAAAAATGATTTTGAGGACTAAAAGTTTTGAATTTTTCATCCAATATCTTTTTTTATTTTAATTAATGCTTGTAAAAATCAAAAAAATTTAATAACTCAAATTTAGAGACTATTAATTTTTTATAAGCAGTGTTCCTAAGCGGTTTTAGAAGGGCGATCTGCCCGGCCTCCCCTTTGATCCCTATGAATACGCCCTTTTTATAAAAATAAACCGCCCATCCCTTAAATACCTTGTTTTTTTATTCATATTCCAGTTTTAAAAAAATTAATTCACTCTTTAACTAATATTTACACACTGGTAAAATTATTGTGTTAATAGGTTTAATTCTGATTACTATTACAAATATTTACTTTTTTAGGATTATTCTCAACTGGTTAAATTTAAGTATCTCCTTTTTCAGGGATGATTGGTTTTAAGATTTTTGAATGGTTTTAAGTTTTAAAATTATTTTTTAAGTAAATAATTTTTAAAAAAAAATGCTACTATAAATGTCTATTTTAACGTAATTTTCAGTTATATAAAAATCTTTCAAGTTGCTTATCAATTAATAATTTTTTCAGTTTATTTATTTAAAAGAAAGACATTTATGAGATTATCAATTAGCATGCTTTTAATTATTTTTATGTACTAAAGTTTTTTCTCTTATTCTCATAATGAGAGTGAATTATTTTTTGAAATATACACATAAAATAGTATGAGAGGGTAATTTAAAAATTGTTGAAGATCAAATTCAATTATTACATAATATTACACATTTTGTTAAATTTTTACGGTGTTGAACGAATGCCTTTTTAAAACTTATAATGCCCTTTTTTTTTTGAGATGCAGTGCCCTGCCCTTTTGGAGAACTCTGTTATAAGTATGTACATAGTTTAAGAAAATAGCCTTATTTGTAAGATTCACAAGAGAACTTTTGCGTACGGTTTTTCTTGCTCTAACTGTAACTCTAACATTATTATTTATCCCTTAGAAGCATAATGTGGAAATTTTTTGGAATTTGTGTGGAAATTTTTTGGAATTTGTGTGGAAATTTTTTGGAATTTGCTCATTTTATGTAAATTAAAAGTCAGCTAACAAGTTAACTGTATCAAATTTTTATGCAATTAATTCAGGAGTCATAAGGGCCATATAATTATTCATTTTCATCAAATGCAGTAATAAATATTGTATGGTGTAGTGTTTTAGTTTAACAATTAATAATTTTTCTTTTTTATCTGATATTAAAAAGCATTGATTCTAATTAATAATATAGTAATCATGTTACAAAAGTTTTGAATGGTTAATTGGTGGATCACCCATTAAATTACTTTTTTGCAAAAATGTCTAGTGGCACATTCACTCTGTGTCCATTTTGATATTATTTGATAACCTTACTTTGAAATTATTTGATTAAAGAAATTTTGAAATTGATTACAAACTTTAATTTAATACTGGTATGAGGGATATTATTGAACTAATGCTGGTTTATTTTTTGAATGCAACAGTAGTATACAATTTTTTTCATGCATTGATTTGAAACTATTATGAGTTCAGTAATGATAAAATTATAACGGAAACTGTTTTACCTTTCTTTTTGTTATACAAAGCAATTCTGAATTTAAAAATAGTAATTTTTTTATTTATTGCAGTAAAACTTGCTTATATTACTCTTAAATAAAAAAATTATACTCTTTAGTTTGCAGTTTGCCTTTTTTTAAAAGTAGTATATTTTATATCTATACTGTTTCAAAAAATGTACAGATTATAATTTTTTTTTTTTTTGAAGAATATTATCCTGACTTTTTCTTCACTCTGAAGCTTGTGAGATGCTTCAGTGATCTTTTATTTATTTATTTTTTTTCTTCTTCTCTGTGGTTTTGTTTTTACTTTCAGTGTAGTTCCTGGTTTTTTTTGCTTTTCAGTTCCTTGCTTTTCAGTGATCTTTTATTTATTTATTTTTTTTCTTCTCTGTGGTTTTGTTTTTACTTTCGGTGTAGTTCCTTGCTTTTTTTTTACTCTGTCGCCGTGAGTAAATAATATTTTTTTGCTTAAGTTTGATTCAATGTAGCTTTTTACGGAAATCTATTTTAATTCACTTGCTAGTTTAAATGCTGCTCTAGTTAAGGACTAAATTTCAAATGCATTATTAAGTAAGAAATTTGAGTTTGAATATTCTTACAATGTTAAAATAACATTACTTATATGGAATAGCCGATAAAGCTTTATCCATTAGCCTTCATAATAGAAGTGTTACTGTGATGGAGGGTCTTTGATTAATGTGTTTGGGTAATGCACATAAAAAAAATAATATTTCTTTTCTTTAAATCTTCCTTAAACAGCTAGCATTACTAGATTAAAGAAAGTGAACATCACATTAACTTATTTATTTACACCAAGAGAGTAGGAATTTCTTAAAAGCAAGCCCTTCTCAAACAAAGTAATTTACAGATTGTGTCTTTTTAAAGTTACATATATTTATTAGAGTAAACATTTTAGTCATCCTTCTGAATACGTAAAAGTTGAATAATAAGTATTTCATGGAATAAAAATTTAACATCCTAATATTTTTTCGTTAATTTTAAATTTAACTTATGATGAGCATTTTATTGTTATTAAATGAATATGAATCAAACAATTACTTTTTTATAGAAAAGGTGTTGTTTGTTTTAATCCTTTTCAATAGTATTATATAAAAATATTTTTCTTTATTGTTTGTTACATTTTTTGATTTAAATATCACTATTAATAGATTAGGATGCATGTTATAATTGAAGGATTTACTGTGAAGTAGTAATGAAATGCATTTTTGATGTTTATTTATTCTTTTTCTCTAATATATATGTATTTATATCCCTTGCAAAAGTAAAAAGGTGTTAGTATTTTCCCCTTGGTTTTAGTTGTTTTTTTAACAAAGTAAGAATCAAAAATTATTGTTGTAAAAAATGTATAAATTTTTTTTTATATTCATCTACTGTGACATATTGAAGTCGCAGTTATGGCTAAATTGAGAAACAATCCACTAAGAATTTAGCTTAGGTAAATCCCTACTAAGGACTTCAATTTTTAAAAAAAGAATAATATTTGTAATAAGAATATTTTTGTAGCTTTAAAATACGAATAATAATATTGTATGTTTTTGACTTATGAGACACTGATAATCAAAACAAAATTAATAAAAGTACAATGATTAAAACTAGCTATTTAAGAAAACAAATATAAAAGTTAGCAGAAAATATACTAGGTGTACAAAAAATAATAATTAGGGCACCTAATGAATTAACAAGCATGACAAAGTGTATTAATGATTTATAATAATTTATTTAAATAAATCATTTTCACTTAAATTTTTTTAATTATATTTTTATTCTAATACGTTTATAATAATATATTTTAAATATAATTTGATATATTTATTATATTTTATGATGATTTAATATTATAGATATTTTAGTGTATTTATTATAAATTTTGATTTAGTAGCATTGCAATTTTTGTTTAGTTTATTTATCCTTTACTTTTATTTAACTATATTTTATAGTTATTCAATGATTTGAGCTATATGATTTTGCCTTTGGATTCAATATTATTTCTTAGACATCTTTTTCACTTTAATATCATTTTTTTATGTCCTTTTGTGGGTGGTCTATCTGCTGGGACCTTTTTTATTTTGATTTGGTAAGACCATCTTTTAATTATTGATGCTGGTTGAGCTCTCAGGGATGTGATTCTTCCTCGGATTTCCGCTTTTTTTTCTTCAGATTTTTCCATTTCCCCCGCTAATTTCCGCTAATAAAATTTTTGTTGGACAAGTTAAAATATTTTATGAGGAATTTAATTTTCTGCGGAGCAAAAGTATTGAAGTCCTCTTTCCTCCCTCTAAAGTTTCTCTAAAAATCATTTCCTTGTGATAAAACTGGTTGAGCTTTATACAGGGGTCAGAGACCTCTAACTAATCAATTTAGAACTATGTCACATGTTGTGTGTTTAAAAAAAGAAATGTAGTTGCAATAGTTGCATATAATTTTTATTTATGCAATTTAAAAATAGAAACTAATGGTGTAGTCTTATTTTGATAAAAGTAATAAAACAGTTTCGAATTTAAGCATGATATTTAAAAATATAATATTAGCACCAATGTTAAAAATTGTTTTAAAAAATTTGGAGTATTTCGAATTTGCATTAAATTTATATGTTAAATAATTTGATAATTTTTGGAATAATATTTTAAAAATGCATTGTAAATTTTAAAATTCATATATTTTTTATTTTTTTTTAGGTGCTATGAATGTGATGATAATGTTAATCTTCAACAGTCTCGTAATTTGAGGCAGTGTGTGGAGTTTCTGAATAAATCGAAAGGCAGTAAAAATACATTTAATAATAGTAATATTTTTTATTTTATTAAACTATTATTATTATTACAACTATTAATTTAAATATTATCCAATGTAGTTGGTGTACAGAATTCAGGGGTTTTTGTATCATTCTTCCGGGTCTAAAAACTAGAAGCAAGGCATGTGATTTTTCCTCTAAAATCTTGAATATTGTATCATATCTTGAGACCTTTGGTTTGTGGACCACTATTCAAAAACTTTTAAACTGATGAAATTTTGAAAACTTTGCTAAATCTTCTTAGAGAGATGTTTACATACATATGGTACTTGCACCAAGTTGATTCTTTCGGTTCGGCGGATTTTCGCCTTTTTGACTATTTGGAACAGAGTCGGAATTTGCTAAAACCACGATTCTTATTCACGTGATTTTAATATCAAACATAGATTTTCGTATTCACCTGATTAAAAAGTTACACTTTGCAATTCGTATTCACTCAATTAAAAAATCTTATATTGTGATTTCTATTGAGGAGAATTGTATTTGTACGCTTTTAAAACCCAATATCACAATTTGTATTCACGTGAGTTTAAAAATCCATTGTTGCATTTTTTATTCACAGGTTTCCAATACCTAATATTGCAATTAGTATTCATACGGTTGTAATATTAAGTATATCGATTTTCCCATTATTTAAAAACTTCCCCTTTTTGATTCATATTCATGTGAACTGAAAATTTACGCATCGTGATTCGTATTTATGCGATTTAAAAGTTCAATCTCGCAATTCGAGCTTTTGCCTTTTTGAACTCCAATATATCTATTCATATTCACATGTTTTAAAAATCCTATGTTGCTATTCTTGTAAGTTTTTTCTTGAATTAGTTAACTATAGAGGTGTGATGTTCTTCGTTAGTGAGTAATTTAATTATATATGCTAATTCAAAAAATAATGTCAAATATGAAACACATATGGTGTACAAGTTGTTATCCTGATATCGATTTTAGGCATATAAAATTTTCAGTATTTTTCATTTTGTGTCACAATCACCCATGACAGGCTTTAACTGTTTGTTCAAACAGTTTGTCATTCTATTTATTGTCTGTGCAAAATTTTTATATATATTTAAAGAGCAATTATTATTTTTGTAAATTAGTTTCATTTTTAAAGAGTTGTTGTAATATCTGCACAAATTGAATTTAGCATTTTTTAAATGTATAATATACATTATATTAAAACACTTGGTATCTTATCACTTATATTATTTGTAATATTAAATAGAACTTTTAAAGAAATATTTGTTGAGGAAAAAAGATTTAAAATAATAGTTTCTCATCTTGCTAAAGTGCGTTAATTTAGTTATTTTACATATTTAGTAATAATTTGGTTGTTTTTATGCTGCAATTGTGGTACACCGATTAGTTGTAGATCTGTAATTGAATTGAGATTAAACCTCTGTTACCTATTTGTTGAGATTTTCAATGTGCATATGGGAGTTGTAATATACTGTTTTTAATGGAAGTTTCTGGATATCCTATTTATTTAAAAAAAGAAAAAAAACTAGAAAAAGTGTTTTAGCAATGTATATTATATATTCAAAATGATTCTAAGATTATAGAATGCTGGGAATTTATACATAATTAATATTCACCATAAAATCAGAGAAATGTTGTAAGCTTAAATGACTAAAAGTCAAGGAAATATTTTTTGCAGTTTCTGTTATTTGATATCTTTATTATTGCTATTCAGTTTTTTGTAAGCTAAGAGACTTTTACAATATGCCTTAAAACAATTCCCCTGTACTATTTATCTAATGGGAAGAATTTTACACTTGTGGTTTGAGAAAAAGGTATATCTATTGGTTGTAAAAATATAAACTATTAAAATGTTTCAAATAATGTAGTAATTTATGGAATTCTTCTGTGAAGATAATAAGCTTAATGACTATATTTTGTTTTGTAGATGACTTTAGAAAAATTGTTAGTATTGATTACTTTTGATGTGCTTAAAAATACATTATCCTTTGTGTCAAAACTCAGTATCTCTAACTTTAGTAGTAACTTTTGAATGAACACTTCAAAAATTATGGCCAAATTCTGTTATTTATTATCTTTTACTGAGAATCCATTACTATAGTAATTAAAATGTTTTGTTACACTGTGTAAACTTCATTGTATATTTTAATTTTTAGCTTTAGATGTACATAAATCTCCCTTAAATAATCAGCCTAATTTATCAAAGTCTGTAATCAAAGAGCAAGCAACCACAGATTCTAAAGTGGCTAATGTAAAAACTGAAAATAAAAATAAGAAAGATATGCTTCCTTCCAAATCATGTGTCAAGGTAAATATTTTCTTTAAAAGTTTATAAATTGCAATTATATTTGTTTTAATTAGATCTTTATTCCTTTAAGTATTTATCTTTAATTCAGCATTGCTGCTTGCCTTCATAAAATTTTATGTATATTATTTGTGAGAAAATAATTCCTACACTTGAAAGAATTCTATCAAAGTTTATGTCAATTGTAAATATAAAAAATATGTGCATTAAAATTTAATTAAAAATATGCTTAATTTGCTCTGTGAAGAAAATAACTTTTCAGATTAAACTCCTTCACAAGTCTCAAGTTTGAAAAAGGGTACTTTACCAAAAATTGTTGTAAAAATTGCCTTTTCATAAAGATCAAATTTATAAAAGTGGTCCTCGCACGAAATTCGTAAGAACTTCCCTTTTACAAAATTCATAAAAACTATGCTTTCACAAAGATTTTTTTTATATAAGCATTATTATTTTATAAACTATTGCTCATATTTATTTTTAAATTGTTTTGAAACCAAGTGGAAAATGCTTTGATAGCCAGACTGGAATTCTTTACTTTAATTTTCACAAAAATGAGCCAATTTTTTTTTTATTATTTTTTTAATGACAGTATGAAATAGTGAACAATAGAATTATTTTATGAAAAAGACATTAAAAATGTACATTTTGCTTGTTGGAAACCTATTTATGTTTTAGTTGATCAAATTTTTTTTCAGGGCTTAAGAAACTTAGGAAATACTTGCTTTTTCAATGCTGTGATGCAGGTAATTTTTTAGCCATAATATTGCTATATTTTTATTGTAGAAATCATTGTATATCAAGACAAAGAAATTTAGTATAACAATATTTTTATTTAAATGTACCAGATGAGAATTCTGTAAGGTTTTCATAAAAATGAATAATGCTAATGAATTTCTATATAATTTCTGTTTATGTTTAACTTTTGTCTCTATTATTTATTTTAAATGTAATTTTTTACTTATGTTATAAATGTTTTATCGTTGCCATCTTTTAAAAAGAGCCATTTTAAGAGTAAGCTATATTTTTTTTAGATGGCAGAAATTTATATAGTAAAATTTATTTTGATCCACTGTTTATTTCTAAATATTGCGTTGTTAAATTAATGTTAATCACTGTTATTAAAATGTTGTAATATTCACGTTAAATTTGTCTTTCAAGAAAAGTATGTGAATAAAATTAGAATCTGGATTTGTGGAAAGTAACCTTAAATTTTTTTAACTCAAGGCTTTATAAAAATTTATGATTGCTGAAAATACTCTTAGTTCACTTTTGACTGAAGCAATTGAAGGTTATCTCTTATGTAAATGTCTCTCTAAGATCGACAGTGTCGGTAGAAGATGCTGTCACACCTCAGGCAATACTGAAAATGCAACACTGATACTAAACTCAATTTTGGGAAAGGAATTTTTTTTTTTTTTTTTTAAATTGCTTGTTGGTGTAATCAATATGTTATACAGAAATACTTTTTATTTTATTTTAAATTGCAGCCAGAAAATTATAAAACCTATATCAATCCTAAATGTTGACTTGGGAAACATATGAACAAGATGAATTACAATTGATGCGTTCAAGGTTTAGAAAGAAAACCATTAGTTTAATAATCATTCATTCAACAATTCACTGAAATGTCCTTCATTGATTTACTCGTAAACAAATTCACTGCTATTTATTACTGACTTGTATTAATTCACTGATCCATTGATTGCTATCCTTTCATTCCTTATGTTCACTCACGTATCTAAAATCGTTCATAATGACAGTTTTCATGACAAAGGGACAAGCGTTCTTGTAATAAATTGTTTATGAAATATACTATATTAAAAATTACCTCTCATGAAACACATTAATGAAATAACGGATAGTCATTATAGTGATATTAAAATATTAAATAATTATTCCCATTAAATAACTTTTGAGAAAGATAAGATACTCTCTACTCAGACTAATATTGGTTTTTAAAGTTATACATTAAAGTAAATAAATAAAAACCTACGTGCAGCATTGAATACAACGATAATAAACGTTTAAATAAATCGGACGAATAAAGAAGTTATTCTGCACTCTATTAGCAAATATATTTTAGTAATTATTTTAAATATATATCAAAGAGTAAATTATTGTAAAAACTTTTATATATATATATTTCTTGTTGTTAACTTAGTTTACTGAAATCTTGGAAATTATCTTTTTTCTCAGAAAATCTGCCAAGATTTGAATGAAAAACTTATATTAAATTTTAAGATGAAATAGGGATGAAATATTAAGATTTGTATCAGCAAATTCACATTATATAAAAAGATACACAGGCTCATTTGACACCACAAAATTAGAGCTCCAAGGTCACTCCTCCCCCCTCTTTTTCTCTTACTTTTTGAGAATATTGGGTGGCATCATAAATTTCTACAAAAAAGATCTTCCCTGGCTGCACACTCTTCTTTCCATATTTAGTTTTACTTAAAGAACCATAAAAAAAGTTTACTTAGGAATATAGAATTAATAAGAAATAACATATTAATATATTTTAAAGCAAAAAATTCTTTAAATAAAGTAGAAAATAAATTTACAGAACATTAAATCTTCGTCTTGTTCGGTCCTCCCTTGAAGTGATGTTCCAGGTGACAGCCCGCCTTTCTCCGACTCTGAATATAGAATTGTATAATTAAAGTTTGATATATAGGGTTGCATGAACAAGAAATTTTAGTCTAGATGAATGTGTGCAAGGAAGCATTCTTCTTTCATGCCATATTGCGAGAAAATAAGGTATTTAAAGACATATTTCATAAAAAATCGAACTTTCTTTTATAATTATGTGTAAAGATTAATGAAATAAAACAATGTTTAATTCAATTCAAAAGGTAGGAATTTAAAAACAAAAATTTTGTGTGAAATTATTTAATTAATTGTTTTGTTTTGTTGAAAAAAAAAAGTATTATTTAAGTTTTGCTTAGATTTGTTAGACAGAAATGAAATTTTTGTGAATCTACCATGAAGTTTTTTCCCCTTTCTTTTAGATAATATTCAACATTTAAAACATTTCAACATTTAAATGTCAAACATTTACATTTATATATATTTTATTTTCAAATTTCCTCCCAGATTATCTTTAATTTTGATCTGTGAATTTTACGTAATATTTGATATAGATGCATCTAGGGTATGAAAGTGCAAAAACACTAATTTTTCTTCATGGGGGGGTGGGTGAGTGAGTTCCCAACAAGCATTGCACATTTGAACATCTTCAAAAAGATTTTTGATTGATGTTTATTTCCTTCAGAGAGTCGATGCATGACTTGTGCTAGCATTTCCTGATGTAAATAGTCTCTTGCTTCAAATATTGCTATATTTTTGTTGTGACACATAAAATAATTGAAAACTTTAATCTTTATTTATTTTTTAGAACCTGAACCAAACACAATTATTATTTAGGATATTGGAAAAGGCATGTGCCCTTGACTATGTTTGGGAAGTCCCTTGTCTAACTTTAATGGATGATATGGTGGTTGAAGAAACCTGTGATGTAAGTAAGCTAACTAAAATATATTTGTAAATGATTGAAGTTATTAAGACGAAATTCTAAAGAGTGGGACAGAAGTTAATAACAAAATACGATTTTGGAAATCTAACAACATTTTGAACTTGTAGATCCCACTTAAAGTAGCACATTACAACAATTAGATTGAAATTTTGGCAATGCATGAAAAACTCACTTGCGATAATTAAAATAAAATAATATCTAAATATTCAATAATTGAAAAACGTTTACCATTTACTAATTTTTGCTTTCAAGGGAAATAAAGAGCAATGCCTATGTTAGACATTTCTTTTCACTGAAAAAGTCCCTTGTGAATTACAAAAATAGTTAAATTTTGTCTTAAAAAAATTGCTAAACTATATGAGAGTGAGTTTTGCTGACTAAAATGTTAAAAGTAGGAGTTTAAAATCATCCAAAAATATTTTGACATTAAGTTAGAACATCCTTTCGTAAAAAAACTGCTTTATTCAGCACATTTCTCATCTGAAATTATACAACCGAAGATAATACTCCACTTTTATTTTTTAAATCTTGCTACATATTCATCTTTTGCTACAATCTTGCTACATATTTATTTTTAAATCTTGCTACATAGCATCGAATTCAAAAGAATTCGATGCTCCTTTATAACACTTGGAAAACGTATTTATTGCACGAGCAGATCTAAGATAGTACAGTAGAAGATCTTAATAACACAAACCTAGGACTTAATGTTTTATGGAATTTTCAGTTCTTTCAACTTACTAATTATGACAATATTAGTCTGGAACAGATTAATCTTAAAATGCTTTAAAACCATTTTTAGATACAAATACTTAAAAATACAAACTAAAATACTTAAAAATGGATGTTATATATTTACAGATAAACATGGACATTTTGTTAAGCATTACTACTAGTAACAAGCAAATTAATAAATGTTGGTTTGCTTAGCTTTTGAAATTTTAATTGCAATAATGTCAAAACTTAATAGATCTTGCTTAGTTATAGAAATTTCCTAATTACAAATTTAAAATCTTTGAAAGAAAAATAATGTTAAAAAAATTTATTCCATTATGATTATATTTCTATTTTTCATATGCTTCTAATGTTGTTCATTTTTCTATACTATCTTCTGATCAGTGAGTTACATATTTTGTTTACAGGAGCATTTGAAGATTCCTATACCACGACAATTTCCTCTGGCTAATAGTCTTCTGCACGTTTATAAATTAATGAATGCTTCTACATCAAATAAAAATGAAATAGTGAACCCTAGTTCTTTATTTACTGAAATTTCTAAAAAGTACGTAATTTTTTTTATATAAATATTTTTTCTTCTTCTAATTGGGAATAAAAATGTATTCTTTTCACATCAATTGTGACTTTTCTTTTTCAATTTGTATTTATTGTGGTTATGATCAGCCTAAAAATCAAACAAAGAGATCATTGATATTAATAGCAATTTTATAGAAAAAAAATAAAATTAGTGTGATGTAATCTGTGAACCTTTTCAAGTTGCCAGTGTGTTCCGTCTTCCAAAATGCTTCCTTGCTCTCATTAATTTGAATTAATTAATATAGTGCATCTATATATGTTTAGTTTTTACTTATGAAGAGTTGCTGACATTATTATTTTTAAATTGGGGACAGGTTTTAAATTAAATGTATCTAAGTTGCAATCATAACATCATGAATTAAAAATATTTATTCTCTGGCTTCAGAGAAAAATTTTTAATATTTTATATTTCATTATATTTATGCTAATAATTATTTGATATTACTTGTCAATTGTGATAATCATTTTGTATGTATTTATTGTTTTTTTATTTACAAAAGAACCTTTAAAAAAAATCATTGTTGAAATTTGTCCCTTTTTCTCTAAATATTGTTATTACATTTTAGGTGCCCTCAATTTAAACACTTCCAAGAACAAGATAGTCATGAGCTGCTGAGACAATTGTTAGATGGCGTTAGACAAGATGAAGTGAAAGTAAGGAAATGATTAATCTCACACCAACACATTAAAAGAAAATTTTTATATATAAATCATGGAATTCACTAATTGCAATTTAACTAATTAATTTTTAACTAATTGCTATTTATGTTTAAAATGTTCCAATGAAAATTCTTATCACGAATTTTCTTTCAGCTATTTCTAAAAAAAAAATTTGACGGCGAAATTATTTTTATCTTAGCAAGTAATAAAAATAAGTGATTGAAACTAGTAATGTTTTTATTTAATTTTTTCAACTTCATTAATATTTTAATACTAGTTATAAAAACTGATTAGTCATTAAAATGATAAAAATAATTTACACGACACCTGGAAACACTTTAAAATTGTTTGATTCAGATTATACAAAGTGAAATAAATTTATGCGAAGAGCTTAACTGATTGAGTGTTTGCAATGTCTGCTTTTTCAGCTTTTCTTTGTTATTTGATGAGTAAGTTGTGTATTGACGAGAAATTCCTATGTATATTTGCCTAAATGTAAATTTCTCGATTAGTTAATGATATCCATTTTGTTGACTAATCTGTATATCATATCGATCTAACCATCTTTAACATTTAATCATCTGACATTTAATCATTTTTACCTTAACTTTAGCGGCAGAAGAAAGCTATTTTACGGCATTTTGATATTGCTAACATTCCTGTTGAAGAAGTTGATGAAGACACAAAGAAACTTGTTAAAGGTAAGAATTTGGGTATGCTTATTAACGGGTATTATTAATTGTTAGCTTTGATGTCAATCAAAGCTAACAATTAACAATGCAAGGAATTTTTAAATTTGCTGTAATTTATTTGCTTTGTTTCAATATTGCCTCAGTACAGCAATTTCAGCTGGCGTTTTCTTTTTAAATATTAAATAGAATCTTACCATGTTCACATATTCTTACCACAACTATTATAATTTCAGTAAGTTTTACTCAAAACTATTTAATTAATATTTGATTTTACTCAGTAGTTAAAAGTTTTTCTTATACTAACTAAGTATAGTCGGAATGATCACAACTATTCTACGTGTAAAATGTTTAATTCTTGAGGTAAATTTGTTACTTTTGAATTTTTGCCCGATTATCTCCGGGCTGTTGCCAAAATAGCACTATGTTTTTCTTGTTTTTAGATAAATGCCACGGAGGGGCTTCGCCGGGCCTCTCGGCCGGTGCGTGTGCCAGATACTCTCTGTTCACCTCCGGCTGTGCAAGAGACTGTCACAGCGACAAGTTGAAAATTTTTCCCATATACCCATATTTGGGGGGGGTCGTGGACCTAATTGACCTTATACTAACTGAAACTTAATATTGAAATCTGGGAAAGTTCATATGACATCTTTCCCAAATTATATTATTTTACTCCATTGTTTTCAAATTTCAGATTCATGACTATGTTTTATGGCAAATTGATATTTACTAACTTCTTCAATGTTCCTGTCTTTTCTTTAGCGTTATGAAAGACTTTAATTAACTCTGTGTGTATTTTATTATTGTTGATTTTATATTCTTTGTTTAATATATTTGGTATTTAAATAACTATTTCTTATTGTAATGAGTTTTATTTTAGTGGAGTGGACCAGTGTTTTGGAGAAAATAAATAAATAAATAAAAATTGAATACACTTTTTTATTTCTTTACTTTTTATGCTTTAAAAGATTTATAAATATGTTGCATTTGAGTCTCTCTATTTAATACATTTTATTTTAAACTTTTTTCCCCCTTTCTTCTAGCTTATAGCTGCTATGCATCTCATACATTAGTTGAAAAAATCTTTGGTGGCCTCTTTCTCAGTACAGTGCTATGTGAAGAATGTAAAACAGTAAGCAGATTATTTATGTAACTTTCCTACAATGCATGTGTAAAAATATTTTGACTTCTTTTTTTTATTTATTATTATGTTGAAAATTTTTACATCATGTTAGAAAGTATTAACTTTTTTCTTTATTTATTTAGTCGTCCCAAGTATTTGAACCATTCATGGATATGTCACTACCTCTCTTTGAAGAAAAGGTGCAAATAATTTAGAAATATTTTTTGTGTAAACATAAGTATTTGTATTGTCTTTAAATGTAAATTTATTTTTGTTTGTGTTGTTGCTTATTTGATTCAGATCATACTGCAAGAAAAACTTACTTATATGATCTGACCCATATGTTACTATGGTTTGCATAAATAAAGATATTATACGGTCAGGAATAATGGAAAACGTAATTATCGTTACAATTTTAGCTATGATATTTTTTCCCTGTAATGATAATTTTAATTTCTCTCAAAATTCTGTAAATTTACATTTTTATTACATTCACTTCTACTTCAATTGTTATTAAATTCTCAAAAGAAGATTTATAGTAGTAAATTATAAAACTTGTTTTATTAGAATTTGTTTTCCGAAATTGAAGAAGCTAGCTATCTATTTTAATCATTTGAAGAAAAAAAAAATTTTTTTTTTTTCAAAATCTGATTATGTGTCTGGCTGTGAATGCTACAAAAGAGGAAGAAAAAAAAAGCTTGTCCTAAAATTAAAAATAACAGCTTGGAACAATATAATACTTAATGTTGTTGCATTAAGTGGACATTAAAAAAAAAGTTGAAAAATCACTGCATTGTATAAAAATTTATGAGGAAACAGAGTAGCTAAGATTTTATATTCTTATAATAGAGTAATCTATTTTGTTTCCTGGTGATAATTTCAGAAATAATGCATAACATATGTGCAAAATCATAATGCATTTTGTTTATTCTTTATAATGTTTTAAGATGGGGTTTTTAAAGGTTAAATATATTCTTATAATGATTATTCTAATATTAAGGTTATAATGACACTATTTTCAATTTCAACTAAGTCATTAATTTGTTAGTTTAATATCTCTCATTCGCTTAAACTAAATAACAAATCATTTCTAGCATCAGGACAATTGCAACCAACCTTTCCTTGATGGAGGACAACAAAAGGATTTTGAGGTAATTCTGTTCATCCTGACACCTGCAGCATTTTGTTGGCATTAGAGAAAGCTTTTTTTTAAATTTGCTGTGTATTAATTCTATGCTCGCTGTCAATGAATTTTTATTTTGGTTTCTATAAGATGATTTTATAACACTAATATTTTATTTTATTCCAAATATTTGAATTTTCAACTCATGTAAATAAATTTGAAACTTTTTGTATAATAATTATATTTTCTATGTTGGTGGCTTTAGCTAAGCACATTGAGTTAATCAAGTTTTTATTTTTATTATTCATGCCTTAAATACAGTAGAGCGCCGACTATCCGAACGTCCAATTATCCAAACTATGTCCGAATTCTTTCTTTTTTCCCCTTTTTTTTAAAGTTTAGATTATTTTTTAACTTATTGGCAATTTTTCTAAATTTAGAAGAATAAATAATATTCACTACATTTGAAGACCATATATAATTTACAACCTTTTTTAGCAGTTTTATATAGTTCCTTATTCCCCTTTACTCCTCTTCAACTAAAAATTATCTTCCAAGAATACGAGCTTAATTTGGACAGTCTGCAATAGTTGGAATGCAGAAGGAGTTTATGATAGATAAGTGCTGAAGTTCTACAATTGGGGGATGGGTAATTGTCACTTATGGTTAATGATTAGTGATTACAGTGCTTGGAATCTTAAATCTTGAAATAAAATTCTTAACAGAAAAACAAACGAAACTGAAGTTTCTAAACCAGTAGATCTTCTGGATGAAAAGATACCAGGTTATACAGCAGAAAAAATATAAGACTGATGTCAAGACACTGAAAATGACCCAGGATTTCAAATTTTAAATGCTGATGAAATTTTGAAAGAAAATCGGAAATCCACAGACGAAGAGGAAGAAGTAGGCGATCAAGTTCAAGATAGTGGGCCTTCTCATATAGAAGCATGCAATGAATTGGCTAGAATGTCAAAATAATGTTGATCCAGTTCAGTTGATTTATTTAAAAAGAATAATAAGGGATATGGCTGCTCGAAAAAGAGCATCTTCTTTGAAACAAAACAAAAAGTCTTTGAAACAAAAGTCTTTGCTGGATTTCTTTCGTAATGGAAAATAAAGAAAAATGTAGTAAAATCAGTAATTGGCAAAAAAATTATAAAAAGCTGAAATATGACAAAAATAGTTCAAAATGAACAAAAGTTTTAAAAAAAATAAATAAATAGAAAATATTTAGGAATTGAAGAAAAAAATAATAAACTTTTAAACACGCCGGAGCTATTTTAGATAGTATTGTCAGTCCTAAGTCCAGAAAAAGTGTGAAGGGAAGTAAGTGCATAAATAATAATCATTTAAACTAAATTTTAAACAACTTTCCAATTATCCGAACCACGTTCGGTCCCGAGCAGTTTGGATAATCGGTGCTCTACTATATATGAGAATGTTTATAATTATTTTTCTTCTCTGTGCATTATTTTTCTATGCAATAATATAGGGGTGAGCAGTTTGTTATACATGGTAGGATTCAAATTGGTTTATTAATAAAACTCATTACTCTACATTATGCAATAAATTGTGCAAATTTACTATATCAGACTTGTGAATATCGAATTGAAATAATTAATATTTTCTAAAACATTCTAGTTATGTCAAGCAACTTTTTTCTGTCAATAACTGAAAATTATAAAACTAGAGATATATTATTTTATTTCACTGTAACTTTAGAATTTTTATATTTTGTTTTTATTACATATTTTATTAGGTTTTTATTATATTAGTAAGTTATGATCATAAATAGTTTTGGTTACCTTTGTTTCTTTATAAATGTAATATGTTTAAAGTTCACTCTTTTTGTTTCTTTCGTTTCTTTATCTTTCAATGTTATGCTTGTCCTTCTATTATATAAAATATCCAAGTATATGCTTGTTAAATTTAGTACAATTTAAAATAGCTAATTATTTTAAACATGAAAGTGATTTCAGCACTAAAAAGTCTGTATTCTTGCTCATAATGTATGTGACATACTAGCAATTTAGTAATTATAATAATTTAATTAACAGTATGTTTAAAAGGGTAAACTTTCATTTTTAACTTTAAGTATAGTGCATTAATACACTAAGGCTATCATCAATTGAAAATATTTAAATTAGACTTATAAAACATTACGATTAAAGAAAAATTAATGGTAAAAATACATCTAAAATAAATTTATAAAAAGAGATTTTAATCAATAAATTTATTACCAAAATCTGTTTCACCTGTATAAAAGAAGTGTGAGAAATTCTTTGAATAATAAATTTATTTTTATAACTCAGAACTTTGTTATTGCAACGTTGTTGCATATTAATTTCTAACACTTTCCATACCATGGCAAAAGAAGCTACTTTGAACTTTCATTTCTTACATAAATTATACCAAATTTGATTTTAAAAAAATAGTCTCAGTTTTCAAAAGTGTTGAGCATCTACAACTATTCTAATTTTAGAATCCAGAATACCAATGTGAAGGGTTCGTAGTTGTCTTGATATTCCGGATACAAAATGTTTTGTCCTGATATTCCAGATTTTTTTGTGTGATTTTAATATTGAGGAATCTCTATCCAAAGTCGATTTTAAAAAAATCACCTTCTGAGATTTTTCACTACATGTACACAGGTGAAAAATTGTCCCATTTTTTAAAATTCATTTCTGACCTGTTTTTAAGATAGTAGATAATTAAAAAATTATGCCTCACATAACATAATTTTCAAAGCAGTGGGAGTATTGTTCTAGCTCTATGTTTCCCCTTCTTTAAATCAGTTTAGCATGCATACATTGTACCCAAAATTTCCCAGATCTTTTAATACAATGTTGTCCTGATTTTTATTTTAGACCGCTATGAAGACTGAAATATGTTAATACTAGTAGTTATGGGTAGATATTAGTTTGTTATGCAGTAAACCTGTCTTTTTAAGTTTTACTACTCGGGAAATAAAATATTTTACAACTCAAGTTTACCTCTAAGTTAAGTAAAATTAGATTAAAAACTCCTAAAAAGGGATAAATTTTATCTTTTAAAAAGTATAAAGTATTTGGGAACATAAAATATAATTTTTTTTAAAATTAAATTCTAGATGCTTTCTATTATTTATTTTTTGTTGTATTATGCTTATANCATTATAAATTTTTTTAAATTTATTCAATCAATTATTGATAATTTTTTAATATGAATGAAACACATTTTTTTAGTAACTCTGATATATATATATATATATATAGTAAAATATGAATAATTATAAAAGCAAGTATTTTTTTAAATTATTTTAATGTGTAATAACAAAAAAGTTTATTTTAGTTATTAATTCAAGTTTTCACAATTTGCTAGTAGATTAAAAAACTTTCTTATAAAAGAGCTGTCAAAAATATTTGTATTGCTACTGTCTCTTTTGTAAACAATTCAAGTAAATGTATGTCATTGATTTATAAATACTATTTTTGTAACCTACAAAGTTTATGATTATTAATTTGTATTTGTTTTATGAGTTAGGTTGATAAATATTTATAATTTGTTTTTGTTTCAGCCTGTGAGAAATCGTAAAGGAGGATTAGAACAAGATGGAAGTAATGAATATATTCTTAATAAACCTAAAAAAGAAAATGGAAAGCCCAGCAAGCATCAGCTACGTAAATTAAAAGATTTAGCTAAGAAAGAAAAGGTATCTCTTTTTACAGAAAATTATACTTTAAGCTTAAAACTTGCTTCCCTGTTACTCACTTAGTGGTGTCATAATACATTTAAATTAATTAGCTTTATGTAACTAATTTTTGTAACTAAAAAATTCATGTTTGAAACATTTAATTTAAAGTTATGCAATGTGTTTTATCATGAAGTATAAAGGCTTTTCTTTTTAAGAAAAAAGCATTTCATAAAATTATAAGAACATGCATAGAGAATTAGTGTGAAAATATGGAATGTTCTTAAAGAAATAATAGTCAAATGTTTCATTGGTATGTTTAAGTAAAAATATATAATTTAAATCAAATGTTTATCATGTCACAAACAATCTGTGTGATACAAAATCCTTTGTTTTTTTTCCATTCTTTTTAAAAGAAACTTATTAAAATTCAAAGTGGTTCTATTATAATGTATTAAAACTGGTTAAAAAGCAAGATAATTTTATGCTTCAAAAGGATATGTGAGCATATATTTGAGTTTGTTTCTTGCTACTAACATAATCTGATATCATAATGTATTATCTAAATTAGCATAATTTGATACTGTTATTATTTAATCTCACTGTTTAAATTTCTAAAACTATTATCAAGCTGAATTTGTTTTAATCTAAGGGTATATTTTAATGAATTTTTAGAATTTTTTTACATTTTATATCTTTACTTGCTTTTCTCTTTTGCATGCTCAAATTTTTAAAAAAAATTTTAATCACTGTGCTAAGTTGCCTTATTATGGATCAGCTATCTTGCAAAAAACACATTCGACATATTATGAAATTTAATTTTTATTCTGACTCGACTGGTGATTACATAGCAGGAAAAGAAAATCAAATATTCTTTAAATCTATGTGAATCACTGTAGCATTATGTTGTTGTATGTAATATTAATTAATGGACATTAAGGTTGTGAAGAACTTTTTAAATAAGGTTTGGATTAAAAAACAACAACAACAATTTGAAAATTGAGAATTCTCTGAGATGTTATTAAATGTTTTAAGCAGAAAATCATTGAAAAATTGTATTGAAAAAATTAATTATTGAAAGAAAATCATTATGAAAATTGTATTTTGTTACCTTTTACTTACTATCAGCTGTATTATTGAAGTATTTACTGCAGTAGAGAAAAACGATTTCTATCGTACTTAACTGATACAACTAATTTAAGTATTGAATTATCTGTGTTTTCTGTTTTTTTTTATTCTTTACAGTAATTATCCCAAATAATCAAAAGTATACTTTGTAATTTATTTAAGCCAGTTTTGATTTATTAATTAAAAAAATCATGCATTAATGCTGCACAAATAGGAATTTATCCTGATTATTTGTGAATTTAACTACAATGCATGAGGATATTTTATGTCTGCTTGATTATTTAGGTATAATGTATTTGTTTTTGTCAAATAAATAACATTTTAGAAACTGGCTAATCAATTCTTTATTTTTATTTATAGTTGCACTAAAATTGTCAAAGAATTGTATATCTTAAAGACATTTAAAAGCTATTAGAAAACTTTTTTCCAAATTATAAGGAAAGAACAAGTTTATAAAAACAAAAATACTAAATATAAGGCTCGTTTTTTTTCTTATTATTAACTAATTAAATATATATATATATTAATATTGTTATAATATTATATTGACAATGATAATACCATACTGTTATTATATTATTGTTGTATAATGTTACTTAATATTAACTGATTTAAAAAATTAGAAACTGTATTTGTTTTACTATGTATATTTTTTTAAACATTTATTTATCCATTTACACTTATTATGAACACATTTATTTATATATAAGCACTTATTTATTTATGTACACTTATTTATCTATATATGTATACTTTATCTCTCAATGTTAAAAGCAATTAACCAATTTTTTTTATTTTATTGTTACTTTGTTATGCTTTATTGCTCCTTTTGCAGTTTCATAAATTAATAGTTATTAATTTTAAAAATTAAGAAATTATTTATTCATAATTATAAATATTTAATTTATAATTGTAAATTATTTATTTGTAGAAAAAGAAAAATAAGACCAGGAGAATTAGTGAAACTAATGAAGATTTGTCTGAAAGTGAAGAAAAATTAAAAGAAAATGATTCTGACAAAGATCCTTCTAGTAAAGAACATGCAGCTGAAGATGAAGAACAAGAAACTGACAACACTGCTATGGAAAATGCAGAAAACTTAGAAGAAATCAAAGATACATTGTCTTGTAAAGAAAAAGTAGAGTTAAAAAATCTCTCTTGTAATGGTGTTAAAAATGAAACAGATGTAATTGAAATATCCCTTCATAGCACTAGTGTTTCACATGCCAATACTGTAAATACTAGTGAAACTGATGATGTTGAATTCAACAACCAAACGCTTACAGACTTGAGCAAAAATAACGATCTTTGCAAAAAGCGAAAAGAAAATGTATCGGGTGATTGCAACAGTGTATCGGATAGACTTAATTTTGAAAAGTGTTGTGTGACAGAAAAACTTGATTTTGATGTAGCTATTGTGCCAAATGATACTTCTGAAAATGGTGCATTTCACAGCATCCTTGAAGATTTACTGGTAGATGAAATTCCTACGCAAAAAATTCCCAAAGATTTGGAACGAGCTATGCTAGGGGAAAATGTATCTGAAGATCTGTTACTAGAAAAGAACCTAAGTGACTTTACTCAAAATCATAAAGGTAAATTGAATTATTTATCTATTTTTTTAGTTTGTAAAATCAATGATAATATTTAAATTATTTTAATTTGGTGAATGAAGTGTAGGATATTTATAAATCCTATAACATTATGAAATTTAAGTGTCTTGTATCCTTTTCAGACCTGATACTTTTATAGCATCTGTAAAAACATATTTTACCTTTTATTTTGTCAAGTATTTATCAAAATTAAAGCAAAAAAATATAATTTAATAGAATAGTACC